ATCTCTACTCGGCTAAAAATGATGAAAATATCTATTCCTTAAAATCTCTATTCCTCATAATCTCTACACGGGTAAAATGCCTTAAAATCTCTACACGGCCAAAAATATGATAAAATGTCTATTTTTTCATTCGGAAGCCTTTACAGTGCCAACTTTCAGTGCGGAAACGTTGCTCTGATTTCTGGTTTATCTTTTGGTATTATTTTGCTTGAATAGTGTCCAGCAGAACGATCAGGGTATGTCCAGCAGAACGACAGCAGCCGCTTCGATACGATCACTGCAAGCAAAATGAACACGACGCAGCGAAGCAGTCGCGTATTATATTTAAATATTTTTTATTTTTTTTTTTTTTTTTTTTTTTTTTTTTTTTTTAACAAACCTCATAGTCTTTTTTTAATTTTTTTTAATTTATTTATTCACTGAAAAGGACCTTATAAGAAGGTCACTAACATTCAGATAAAAATTGTGAAACAATTGTAAAACAAAGCATATAAAAATGATAAAAATAAAACAAAAAGTAAAAAAATACAAGTCACAATAGTGTATAAAACAAAGAGTGTCCACAGACTGTAAGGAAGTTTATATGAGTTGATTACCCAAGTTGTTTAATCTGGGAGAATGTGGACGCTTGTTTGTTGTAGACATTTTTAAGAAAAATTGAAATGCACAGGTGCTTTAAATTGCAAATCTTAAAATTTGAGTTATATAAATATTAGAAAAAAATAATAAATCCAATTGTTTCTCAATGTGTTTTAAAAATGCTTATAAAGTATTAAAAAAACTTATACATTAATGCAGTGAATGCAAAAAATGAGGGAGGGAAAAAACAAGTGGAGATATTACTAAATTATGAAAAGGTCAAAATGTAAAATACAAAATATATATTTTTAAAAGGGAAATGTCAAAATGTAAAATACAAAATATATATTTCTAAAAGGAAAATGTCAAAATATAAACGTCAAATGAACAGTTATGGTATGCCAACACAAACAGTCAAAATTAGTAAGGTTTTATGGATTTTTAGCTAGTAGTATACAAAACAAGTGTTTGAGCTCTCCAAATTTATTAAATATGACCTGAGCGCAATCCAAAAAATCTTTGGGTTTGGTGAGTTTATAATTGAAGCAGGTATTGTATTCCAAAGGTTTACAGCTCTGTTTATGAGCCAATGTTCGGTTTTACTGTTTTTTCGGTGGACCTTAATTTGAAACTTGTGTCTATTTCGACTAGGTCTATCGTTGAGCTCAAATAAATCGTTAAAGCTTAAATGTGTAAATTTAAAGATAATCCTATAAATAGTTGATAGATCATATAATGAGCGTCTTAATGCTAATGATTCGAGATCGAAGAGAATTAATCTTTGAGAGTAACTTTTATAGGTAATCTTACACTTAGATAAAGCGATCCTAGTATACCATTTTTGGATTTTTTCGATTTTTTCCACGAGATACTTAGTTTTTGGACTCCAGATAACTGTGGCATATTCTAGTAATGGCCTAACGTAGGATTTAAAGGCAAGAGCCCATACCTTAGGATTGCTAGTGTGTATGCTATTAAGAACTGAAGAAGCTCTGGCATAGGCTTTCCTGATAATAATATTATAGTGTAAATCGAAGGAAAGGTCATTGGTAAGGGTAATGCCAAGGTCTTTTATTACAGATGTTATTTGTAAAATGTCACCATTGAGTGTATATGTATATTTAGGATTTTTGGAGCCAATATTTAGAACAAATGTTTTTTGCGTAGATATTTCGAGTGCCCAATCGGAACTCCATTGAGAAATTATATTTAAGGCATTTTGTAGTGAATTAGTATTTTCTGAATTTTTAAATACTTGAAAAATCTTAAGATCATCAGCAAATAAACATTTACTAACATTATTGGGAATATAGAAGGTTAAATCATTTATATATATTAAGAATAAAATGGGTCCTAAGATAGATCCTTGGGGAACGCCAGAATATATTTTAAAAGATGTAGAAAATGTTGTGTTAATTTTTACTTTGGCTGTACGATCTGTTAGAAATGATGAGATCCAGTTAAGTAATTTCCCCCTAACTCCTATGTTAAATAATTTATAAATCAAGAATTTGACGGGGACAGAGTCGAAGGCATGCTTAAGATCAATATATACGCAGTCTACATTTTTATTTTCAAGTATAGCTCTATACCAGTGAGAGAATGTAAATATTAGTTGGGTAGTTGTAGAACGCTTTTTTAAGAATCCAAATTGGCTTTCACTAATAATTTTGTTTTCTTCTAAATGGGTCAGTAAACTGTTAAGTATGATACGTTCTAGCACTCTACATATAGCCGATGTAATAGAAATGGGTCTATAGTTTGCTGCAATAGTTTTATCCCCTTTCTTAAAAACAGGTGTGATATGTGAGACTTTCCAAGAATGAGGTAGAATTCCTGAATCCAATGACAATCTAAAAATATCAGATAGGAAAGGTGTAATAGACGAATGGCAATTTTTTAGCAAGGTATAGCTTATACCATCCTCAGAACAGCAGTTATTGTTAGGTAAATTCTTTAATATATTATCGATATCTAATAGACTAAATTCGATATCTTCAAGGGCATTTATGAAGTTACATGGGCTTAATTTAGGAGGATCAAATCTAGGGAGATTAGAAAAAGAATTTGCAAAAACAGAAGAAAATAAATTACATTTGGCCTGATCATCGAAAATAAAAGTATTGTTATGCTCTAAACATGATATAGGAGAATATTTCTGAGTCAGGTTTTTCATATATTTGGTCATGTTTTTACGGTTACTTACTATTGATTTAATTCTTTGTGATTTGTAAGAGTTAACAAGATGTTTAATTGTTTTGGAAACATTAATATATTCTTCTAGGCCACAATCTGATTTTTTAAACTCTGTAAATAGTTTTTTCTTATATTTGATGAGTTTCCTAATATGTGAAGGATAATTAAACGATTTTTGTTTTACGGTTATTGTGCGTAAGGGAGTATATTTTTCCATGAGAGTTGAGACAAGTTCAAGTAAGTATTCGTATTTATCTGATATATAGAATTTTTCATATATACAATTAAAATGAGAGATTAAGTAAGAATTTAATTGTTTTACATTAGTATAATCCCTAAAGCAGATTTTTTGAGGGTTGGGTTTAGCCATGTTAAGGGTAAAAAGAATAGAAAAGTGGTCTGAAGTAGATAAACCTGCACTAACATGGCAAGAACAGATAGAATTAGGATTATTCGTGAGTAGCAGGTCTAGTATAGAACCTTTATTGTGAGTGGGTGATGTAATGACATTATTAAGATTAAAGTTATTGGTAAATTCAAGAAATTCTTTAGCACATTTTGTAAAGGCGGTATTATCATTCCAGTTAATATTATTAGCGTTAAAATTAAAATCGCCTACAATAATAACATTTCCTTCGCAGAGATTTTGAAGGATTTTTAAAAGTTTAATAGTAAGTGAGCTAGTAATTGCTGGTGGTCTATATACTAAAATAAGTCTAATGCTAGCCTTAATAGAATGTATAGAAAGATCTACAGCAATTATCTCGATACCTACAATATTTTTAATGGACAATTGTTTATAAGAGATTCCCTTACGTATGAGCATTGCAACACCACCACCTTTACATTTAAATTTAATGTCACGATTATCTATAAGAATATGGAAATTCCTAGACGAATTTAGTTGATTAAGATGGGCATCATTTTCTTCAAGCCAGGTTTCAGTTAATAAAACAAGGTCTGGATTATAATCTACTATTTGAATGTCTAGTTCATTGATTTTATTACGAACAGATCGACAATTGTAGTATAAACATGTTAAATTTTTAAAGAGTTTAACGGATGAGATATAAGGTTGCGAGGCCATATTTCTTATATTTGGAGATTTTACAGATAAATTACATGAGACTCGATTACTAGTAGTGACTGTTTGTGTATGGCACTGGTCAAATGGAGAAATCCCTAATTGGATTGAAAATTTGATATATTAGTGTTTAGAGTTTGTTTAAATTTAGGGATTTCACTCCTTAAAAGTACAGTACCGGCATATATTATATAATCAAGATTAGTGGATTCACGTTTTTGTTTACACAACTCAATCAATTTACTACGCTCATCTAGTTCTTGCTTAGTCAAACTCTTACGAACCACAATGTTTTTAAATTTACCAACCAGTTTTTTCTTATTTCGAAGGGCCTCGGTTACCGCTGCTGAACATGGAAAAAGAATTTTAAGTGGTCTAGGCTTAGAGCCTGGTTGTCGTTGTTTACCAAGGCGGAAAACAGCCGAGGGAAGACAGCGATCGATTTGTAGTTCATTTAAAATTTGTCGAACAACTTTGCTATCACTTTCAGCCCTTGCCATAGGTTGAGTCTCAGTACTTTCTGGAAGGCCAGTAAGTACTAATAAATGTTCACGTTGTCGCTGCTCAAAAGCAGAAGAAAAATCAATATTATTTGTTGTTTGATCAGTCAAAATTTCCGAAGCGACTTGCAACAAACCAGATAGTTGTTTAATTATCTGTTGCTGTTGACTAATAATTGTTTTAGCAAAATCGGGAATTAATGGGTCAGAAGGGGGAGTAAGTAAATCATTGAAATTTAAATTTGAAATTGTGTCGAGTAATTGTTGGCGCTTGGCCGAAGGTGCTTGTGATGGTGAAAATTGATTACCCAAGTTGTTTAAACTGGGAGAATGTGGACGCTTGTTTGTTGTAGACATTTTTAAGAAAAATTGAAATGCACAGGTGCTTTAAATTGCAATAACCACTTAAACTTGGGCCATCCGCAGCCATTTTCAAATTAATTGTATCCATATCAGTATCCATCACCAAGTCTGGGTTTTCAAATGATAAGTTCATATTTTACACTTTTGTTAAGACTCTATTGTCCATTTGCGCGGGGTAGAGATTTTAATTATTTTTACCCCAGTAGAGATTTTAAGGAATAGTTATTTTAAGGAATAGAGATTTTAAGCATTTTTAGCCTAGTAGATATTTTAAGGAATAGCGATTTTAAGGAATAGAGATTTTGTATGGGAGCCGTTTTCTTTTGTTTTCTTTGTTTGTTGAGGGGTTTTTTTTGTTGCTTTTTCGGATGTTTTGAAATTTTTTGAAATTTTTCTTGGATTTTTAAAAATTTTTAGGGTTTCTTTATTTTTTTAATTTTCAGATTTTTTAGCTTAAAAAATGTCAAAATTCTTTCGTAGTGCTGTTTCTAGTTCAAGTGGCTCGGAAAGTGGTGAATCCGATGTTGAGGCTCCAGTCGCTCAAGCGCGGCCACTGTAAAAATTTTTTTGAGGTTTTTTGAAATTTTTTAAATTTTAGAGGACGACAAGATTTTGCATATCCTAGCGATTCGGAAGATGAAGGGCCGAAACGAGTTGTTCGAAGTCAGAAAGACAAAACATTTGGTGAATTGAAGGAATTGATTAGAAATTCGAGAAATGCTAGGAATATTAAAGATGTTTCAAAATTGTTAGGAAGTAAGGGTTTTTTAAAGGGTTTTTAAAGGATTTTTGAAAGGTTTATAGTAGAAATGGAGTTGGGTCTGGACCAAGGCCTGTTTCCTTAACCAGAGTCCAGGTCAAGGCATTTTTTGGCCTTTCTGAGTTTTTCCTGGGCCTGGGTCTCCGGCCCAGGCGAATAAATCAAACCCAGGAACAAGCAAAGGCTTTTCAAAAATCTCAATCTCTAGTTTATAGTTGTGAGACTGAGTTATTTATTAAGGTGGCAAATCCAGGCAAGGGACACGCTTGAATAGTCGCGCGGCCATAAAGTCGCCAAGTCATAATTTGCTTCATGATTTTCCAATCTTACCAAATTTAGTATTAAACGATTCCTCTCATCGAGCTAAAGAGATTGGTACCATAATTGATAAGGGCCAGGAATATTTTAGCAAGTTATGGCTTGGCGACCTTATGGCCGCGCGACTATTCAGGCTGTACCCCCAGGCAACTGTATAGTCGAATCCGAGTTTTCCGACATTTTTCTCATCTGCCAACCAAATTAGTTACGTTTGCGGAAATCCCACTTTTTCTTACTTTCCATTTTTCTATTTGATGTTCACCTTATTTTACCCATCCCTGTCCTTGTAAGTCGGCCTAGTTTGAGACTGGAAGTCCTCGTCCCTTTGATAAGTCGAACTCCTGACCTGGAAAAATCAACACATTTTTAGACCTGCAAGGCAGCCTGACAAGGACTTTTATTTTTTAAATTTATTTTATTTTTTTCCAGTTTTTGAGGAACATATAAAAAGCTGGGAGAAAGCAAAGTTAATTCTTGCTCGTGAGAATGGTGGAATTCCTCGTTTTTATATTCGATATTTGGTTGAAGTGGATGATTTTGTAAATGAACAGTGGGAAGATAAAGAAGGGCGTAAAACAATGTCAAAACAAAATGCGAAAGCTCTGGCAACTTTTCGGCAAAAAATTAAAAAATATAATAAAGAATTTGAGGAACAAGTGAATTCTTATAGAGAAGAGCCCGATCCTTTAGGTTATTCGAGTGGAGCTTTGGAAAGCAATGAGGAGGACGAAATTGATGGAGATGAGGTTTGGGATTTTTTGGGACTTTATTTAATTGGGTGCTTTTGGAATAGGGTTGACAGATCCTGGAAAATTTCGAACATCCGGAACCGATATCCGAACAGGAAATTTCGGATATCTGATTTTTTTCGGATCCGGATACTTCAATCCTATTCTGGTACCATGATGTGGCAAGCCACGATCCATTCTACCGCATCAACTTATAAGTTACGACAGTTGACTTTCATTACAGACTTCATGAAAGTCGAATCTAGTCAGGCTACGTGTAATTGTGGCCTGCTCGTCGAGTTGAGTCTGGTGACGGCTAATAGACTTGTTTTGTCGTTTTTTTTTACAGCTTTGTGGTAGACTAGGATCGTGGCAGACTGGTTCCGAGTAATATACTCAAAGATCGACGGGTCTAGGCATTAAATTTTTTTAAATTTCAGATTCCTAATAATATTCCTGTTGCTGTTCCAGCAAAGAAACCTAAAGCAGTTCCTGTCAAAAAGAAAGTTGTTCGTGATGCTTCTGGTTCTGAAAGTGAGGAAGACGAATCTGACTGGGGAACAGAATCGGATGAATCTTCTGCTTCCGATTTGGAACCTTTGGAAGGAAAGGAAATGGAAGAATTACGACGATATTTTCTCAAGTTTGTTTTTATGATTTTTAAAATTAATAAGGGAAGTAAAAACTGTGGGCGTATTGCTTAAAATTGCTCGAAAACTAGGTCTAAATACCTTCAAAATTAAAATCTAGAAAAAACTTAGGCTCTTTCAAGAGGATTCCCGCTCTCCAAAATTATTACCTTCGACCCTGGGATAATTTTATTTTTTGTGATTTGGCTGTCTCAGGGATATCACAGGTTGAATAACAGTCTGGTCCAGGTTTCATAATGTTTTGCGGGTTGGATTCTGTGTTGGAAAAGTCCGACTTTCGGATAGCCCGCGACATCCCTTGTGTTTGTGGATATTAAATTTATCTATAGGAAATTCATTACACTCTTTTTGTGGATTTATCCGTCATATTTTCTCGAAAAAATTTTTTATCTTATAATTTTTAAGAAAAGATAAAACCGTAACAAAAGCCAAAGATAAAGAAGAAAAGAAAGCTGCATTACGTCTTAAAGAAGAAAAGCGTCGAGCAATAATTGATGAAGAAGATGCTGAAAAAGAAAATCAAGTTTCCTGGGAAAAAGTAACATACAATAAAGATGCAGTTAAACCACTTTTTGATAGTAAAGAAGAAATTACTGGAGAATTAGTAATTAAAAAATTACAAGAATTAAATACAAATAGAGGAAGAAAATCAACAAACAAAAAAGTTTATGGACGTTATTTAAAAGAACTTTATAAAGTAACTGAAGAAAATGGATTAGGAATTGGTTTGTCGGCAAAAATTTTGACGGTTGTAATTTCTTCGCTTTTTGAGATGAATACGAGAATTAGTGATGCTATGGAATTTAATTCTTGGACTAAGTTTGTTTTTTGGATATTTTCTGAGTGATTAGATATAGGGAAAGGGGTTTTGGGGGGGATTAGAATGGATAGGGGAAAATGGGGATGAGTGAGAGATGAGGGATTGTCTTGATTTTTAAATTACATTAGAGATAGGAGGCTACCTCCACATCTGATTTCGGTCTCTGGTTAAACCCTCGCCCTTTAATTCAATCCCTGGATACGCTCTTGCATTTCTTGGACTAACTTTAAGTTTTTTTGGGTTTTTGAATATTTTTCTGAGGGATTAGAAAGGATGGGGGAAAAATGGGAATGAGTGAGAGATGAGGGATTGTCTTCATCTTGAGTTTATGTCAGATGACAGCCCTCTCCTCTGGAATCCGATCCCAAATCAGTTCCATAGATACGCCTTAGCGTTCGAGTTGGTTTACCCCAAAAGTAGTCGGTTTCTGTAACGGAGTTGTCAGGTCCGCATATAAAAAAGGTCCAAGAAAAGATTTGGGTGTTCAAAAATAATATCGGTTTGAACATTGATCCAATTCCTGATATTCGGAGATTTCTCAAAAACCGTCAACCTACCTCTGAATTTTTTTTTCAATTTAATTTTTTACCTTAATATTTAAAATTTAATTATAATTTATAGATCTGTTGAAACAGTTAATCGTCTTTTAAACCTTTTAAATGAAAATCCTAATGTGATTATTTCAATTTCAACAGGGGAGGATGAAGAGAATATTCTGGTTTATTTTAAATTTTTTTTTCTGATTTTAAACTTAAAAAAATTTTTTTAAAGGACAAAACAAAGCCTTTTCTTATCCACGGTTCTGTTATTTTAATGGTCAAACGTTTGGACGATGAATTAACAAAAATTTTTCAAAGTACGGATTGTCACAGTACGGATTATATTGAAAAGTATTTTTTTAATTTTTAGGAGGATGTAAAAATTTTTTTGTTTTTAGATTAAAAGGAGAATCGTCATTTTGTTCTTTAATAGAAAAAGCACAATTATATGCTGATGGTCAACATAAAACGGGAGTTGTTGATCAAAATGAAATTTTGTTGATTTATGGGCTTAGAATAGAACAGTTGTATTATAAGGTTGATTTTTAAAATTATTTTTTGGGTAGATTAAGGGTTTTTTTCTGGAAGGTTTTACTTTTTTTTGATTCCAATGGCTATGGTTCCAAGTTTCAAAAAATATTTCTCGAATGATTTTCCGGTTTCTAATGATGTGCATTTTTGACTGTTTGCCGTTCTATGGTTCTGAAAGAACGGTTCCGTACTAAACTAGTTATCCAAAAACGAATTTCAGTTGAAAGATTGTGTATAGACGAGGGGTAGAGGAGGGGAAAAAGTTGAGTAGGAGTTCTGACCAGGTTTTCAAAAATTTCTCAAGGTATCGAATTAAAAAATTGTCTGTGATTCTGATTTTGGGTATATCAGATTTCTGATAATCCGTCCCATTTTTAATCTGGACTAAAAGTTGGATAAGCAAAGGGCCCTCTTTAGGTTTTGTAATTACTATAAAACATTTTCTTGAATTGGTCCTTTAAATAATTTTCTATTATTTTTTAAAGTATTCAATTAATGAAGAGGAAAGTGAAAAATTAATGGAATCACTTTGCAAAGTTATTTATTCATTTAAAAATGCACCTCTAGCACGGCAGAGAGCAATGCTTTCGCAAATATATCATCATGCTCTTCACGATCGTTGGCACAAAGCTAGGAATTTAATGTTAATGTCTCATTTACAAGCAATTGTTGATCATTCTGATGCTAATACTCAGGTGAAAAATTTTTAATTTTATTTCTGAAAAATATTTCGGAACTTATGCAGTTTAGGTACAACCATTTATTCATAAAATAGCCCAAGTGTTAACCCTTTTATTCGCCAATCACCCCATTTATTCACAGGGCAACAATAAGTTTATGAAACCACGTATTAACCAGAGCAACCGTTGACTCCCCAAACAAGCGCTTGCCGATTCCCTTAGGTTTGGTTGACCATTTTGAGCCTCTTTTGAGTTTGCGAATAAATGGGAGGTTTACTTAAACTGCATGTTTCAAAATTTCAAAATAGTAAAATTCCAGAATGTAAGTGAAAAATAATTTAAAATATTTTTCAAGGTTCTCTACAACCGAACAATTTGTCAACTCGGTTTGTGTGCATTTCGCCATGGTCTGATAAGAGAAGCGCATCAAAACCTTTCCGAAATTCAAAATACTCAGCGTTCTAAAGAATTGCTTGCTCAGGGTATTCCACCACGTCAATCTGAGAAAACGGCTGAACAGGTTTTTTGGAGAATTTTTAATTTTTAAAGGGAATTTTTGACACTGAGGGAGAGGGTAGTAGCAGAAGAAGTTATTAACATACATAGTGTTGTTAATGGCAACTTCTTTAGCCCAATTTCCACTGGAATATTCTTCTCGTAATGAACTAGGATCTTTTGTTTCAATTCCGGATATCCAAAGATTTTTTAAGAACTAACCCTTATTCTTATATATTTATCTTCTCAACTTTCTGGGTTTTTTGTTGATTAACTTGCCCACCTCCTAAAAATCATTTTTGAAAGTCACCAAAAATTCTTAAAAATTTTCTTTCATTTTAAGGAATTAAAAGAGCGTTCTCTTCAAGTACCCTATCATATGCATATAAATCTTGAATTAATGGAATGTGTCTATTTAATATGTTCAATGCTGCTAGAAATCCCCAATATTGCCTGTTATGAATATGATGTTCGTAGACGTTTACTTTCTCGTTCATTTCATTATCAACTAAAATTCTCTGAAAAATCAGCACTTATTGGACCACCAGAAAATACTCGAGAACATGTTGTTGCTGCTTCTAGAGCAATGTTGAGGGGTGATTGGATCAAATGTCGTGATTATATAATTAATGATAAAATGAATGCAAAGGTTATTTTTAAATAAATTTTTATTTTTAAAGGGTTTGGGGGGAAAGAAAAGTGAGGAAATTTTTTAACGAAAAAATTTTTTTCCTTTCTATTGGGTGTTGGAGCCTTTTATGGAAAAATATAAGTAAGAGCAGGGCTGTCAAAAAAACCACGCGATTTACACAATCCGCAATTGCGGACAGCCCTGTTGGAGAGCCGATTATTCGAGAGTCGGAGGAGCACCTGTCCGTGGTGTGGGTGAAAGAATTTAGTTAAAACTATAACTGCCAATAAGTCGAAGGTTCGATGACTGTCATTGACTAACTTTTACCCTTTTCTTATTGAAATTATATTTGGAAATTAATTTTAAAAATTTTTTAAATTAATTTTTCTGTTAGAAAATGGTATACTTAAACCGAGTTTTCTGAAAAAAATCTGGGTGTTGAGAATTTTTTCTCTAAAAAAATTTTGTGCTTTATCCTTTATAAAAATATTTTTTTCTAGGTCTGGAATTTATTCCGTAATTCTGAGAACGTCAAAAAAGTTTTAATTTCACGCATTCAAGAAGAAACTTTGCGGACTTATTTGCTAATGTATTCTACAATTTATAGCACTGTTTTATTAACGACTTTGTGTGAGCAATTCCAATTAAGTCGACAACGAATTTATGCAATCATTAGGTTTTTTTAAATTATTTTTTAATAATTTTGGGGATAATTTTTGGAACAATTTTTGGGAGGTTTTGTTCAAAAATATTCCAAAAAGTGATTTTGTTAAGGTTCGCCCAACCCTAGTAAGTAATTTTCTTTTGTGGAAAAATGGTTATCCTAGGTTTTTTCGGCTCGTTTTTTTCGAGTTTCGGGTCGAGCGAACTGGTAACCCTAATATTTTGCTTCAAAATTGCTCTGGTCATGACTCATGATTATAGGGTATTTTTAAGTTATTTTTAAGGTTTTACTTGGATTTTTCCTGACTGTCAGTCTCAGGATCTAGAATCTATTAAGACGTTTATAAAATTACTTTTGGTCTAATTATGAGCTCAAAACCCCCCCAAAAATTGTTCAAAGTTGTTAAGAGGACCTTAAAAAATTTTTTTTATTTTAATTAAAGCAAAATGATTTTGCAAGAAGAATTGAGTGCTAAATTTGATGAATCAACAGATTGTTTAATAATGCATAAAGTTGAACCAAGCAAATTACAATTACTTTCTCTTCAGGCTGCCGAAAAGTTTTCTCAAGTATCCTCAATTGAACAAACTGGAAGTGGGGGAGGAGGAGGACCAACTTCTTTGGCTGGAATTATGCCAGCAGATAATCGAAGAATGTATGGAGGAGCTGATAAAAGAGGTGGTGGTGGAGTTGGTGGTAGTGAAAGGATTGGTGGAGGTTTGGAATTTTTAAAATTTTTTTTAAATTTTGAGAGGATTTGGGGGAAAGAGGCTGGAGTATTTGGAATTGGTCCAAAAAATATTTTTCGGAAGGGAGGGAAAATTTTTCAAAATTTTTTTTTAATTTTTTTAAATGTTGGGAGGTTGTGAATCCGGATTTTATTATGTATGAAAATATTTTCTGGAGGGGAGGGCGGCTAAAAAATTTTTTTTAATTTCCTCAAACTTTTCATTTCCCAAGGATTATAAGGATTCTCTTCTCACTTCCGTTATTTTTTTAATAAAAAATATTTTTTGAAAGAAGGGGACTTTTAAAAAATTTTCCGAAAAGTTTTTCGTTTTCCTTCGTCTTCCCAAAAATATGAGGGATTTTTCTTCCTTCCACTATTTTTTTTATAATTTATTTTCTCGCGCACATTTTTTACTCTAAAAATTTTATTGTAGGTGCTTTCCATCGTCCACAGAGAGGAGGAGGAGGCGGTCCTGGTGGATTGGGAGGTGGAGGTGAACAAGTAACAAAAACTAGAGGACGATGGGCATGAAGAAAAAATGAAGAATTTATTAATATTCCTGTTGATTGTATTTTGTGTGTTGTTGAAGGGATTTTTGCTTTAAAAATTCGAAAAAGGTTTTATTTTTTAATTAATTTTTTAAATCCCTCCTCCAACAATTTACTTTAGCCCTGACCATAAGAAAAATTTTTTGTAATGCGGATATTTTTCGTTATTATAGTAGTTTTATTTTTTCGTTTTGTTTTTAATGATGATATTTTTTGGTGTTTTTGGATATATACAAATAGAGATTTTGTTATTATTATAATAAAGAGATATGTTGTTAATTTTTCTGATAAGCTTTGAGGTGAAAATTATCGATTTTTTGAGCCGAATAGTGACAAAAAATGAACAAAATTTCAAGAAAAAAAGTTTCAAATAAATTTAATAGACAGAAATATCGTTGAAATCCGAGCAGGAATTTTATTAAAAAATATAGGAAGGTTGAAAAAATGAGCCTCCCAGTCCGGGAATCGAACCCGGGTTAATTTTTCTGATAAGCTTTGGGGTGAAACATATGAAAATTTTTGGGTCGAAGTAGTAGAAAAATGAGTAAAATTTCAATAAAAAATTTTAAAATAAAATTAATAGAAACAGTTTGAAAAATAACCGGAAAATGTTATTGAAAATATAGGAAGGTTGAAAAAAATTAACCTCCCAGTCCGGGAATCGAACCCGGGTCTCGCACGTGACAGGCGCGGATACTAACCACTATACTAACTGGGAACTGAAGGAAAAAAGACAAAAAATTAATTATCTATAAGTCTCTTGAATCAACTTTGAGAAACGGAACATCGGGAATCTAGCCTTCCAATTGATCTTTACAAACTGGGAGAACTCCCTAACGAAAATCAAGGCTACAAATACTGATACACTTGTAAATAATTTCTTAAGTCATTTACAAGGAAGGTGGTGGGATTTTGTTTAGTGCGGAAAGATTTTTTGGGGTTCTTCCTTGGAAAAAAAACTGGAAAGCTCGATTTATTTTAAATTAAATAATTAACAAAATTAAATTATTTTAAATCACTAAAAAACAAAAATACCAATATTTTTATTCGTTCCCAACTAATCTTCTCCGTCAACATTCTCTCCTTCCTCTTCCTCCTCAACATTCTCATCTTCTTCATCTTCATTGATGAAATGCTGAAGCAGATTAGACATCGCCGAGACCTCATCTAGAACCGATTGAAGAGCCTGTGGATTAACCAAGTTCAGAATATCAACGCCAACATCTCGAATATTGGTGAGAAGGTCAGTCAATTGAGTAATAAGATTGTTTGCAGAAGTACGTAACTAAAATTTAATTAAATGTAATGAGAATTAAGATGAACAATAATTAGTAAGAGGATGTTTTTGCTTACAATTTTGGGTAATTCCAAGGCTGGTCCCCCCCCTTTTTTTCTGTTCCCCTGACCATTTTGAACTTTTTTGCTTGGCATATAATTTTCAATATATCATTCGAAAGAGCTGTTCGAGCTGAGTAGAATGATACTAAGATCGGTTCGATTTGGAGATTCTGAACAGGATTATGAAGCTAAATCCTCGATGGACGTGCGTTTTGTGATGCTGAAAGAGATTAAAACAAATGCTCATAACTATGTTTATTTAAGTCGGATTTCAATGAATCTAGTACCATTCGACTCAGCTCGAAGAGCTGAGTCGAATGATGTATAATTTATCATAAAAAGTTCAAAAAATCGAAAAAATAGAAAGGAAAAAAAAAGGGGGGGGACCAGCCTTGGAATTACCCAATTTTGTGCTGATTTTAACTAGGCATTTTCGCACCTGGAGTGATACCGCTCGATTCAGCTCACCGAGAGGAATCGATTGACCCGTTTAGGTGCAGGCCCTAGACTAAACTACATCCAAACTCTTTTTAACATTAACATAAAAAATAAAAACTAACTCCTGCAAGAGCATCCTCTCCCACACCATTATGTGTATGGTGAAAAAAATTTGTAGTCCATGCTGCGTTGAGTTGATCAAATAAATCACTAAACTCTGACGAAAATGGAACTATTTTGAGTGCACAAAAGGTAGCTACTACAAAATAAATGGTTAAAATTAACACTAAAAATGAAAAAAAACCTCCCCATCCAGTGACGATTATAGCAGAAAGGTCCTGGATGTTGGTCGCATCCATACCAAAAACATCCTCTTGTAAAAGCTCCAAAAGTTCAATTCCATGTTCAAGGCCTTGGATGAACTAAAAAAATTGTTCAAAAAATAAAAAAAATTATAGGTAGATTAAACTTAAGTGCTTCACTTAACAAAAATAAATACTCACAGAATTCCTTATTTTTCTGATAGAAACAACCGAACGATGGTGAATTTTCAAAATAAAAAGATCAAATATGAATGAAATCCTTTTATCTGCGAATTCTACATCTAAAGGCAGAAAACAAACAATTTCACGCAATAATTCAATAGGAACTGATTTTTTTCTTTTCTTAAGTTCCATTAAAGAGAATAGTCTAACCTACATTTTAGCAAAGAAAAATAACGCTAGGACTTCATAGGTAGCCGCATTTACACAAACACACACTAACCAAGCAAACCCATTTAATGACCTTGTGGGAAAGTTCTACAACGAAAATTTAAAAAAGCGGGGAAATCCGACTATAAATTTGTTATAATAGAGTCTGCCAAATAAACTAAATCCCTTTAATCCTAGCCAGTTAATAGTTCTTGATTTTTCAAAAAAAATCATTGGGGCCTAAATAGTCAGAAAATCGAAAGAAAATTTTCATTTTACTCTATTTTACCTAAGTGAAGCACTTAGCTAATCTTAAAAAATAATAAAAAAACATACTACAATTATATGTTGTGGTACTTCTGGAACTTCTTGCTGCATCACAAATAATTTGGTTCAATTACACAAAAAATTTTTTGAAGAAAAGTTCTCTAGAAATAAAAAAAAATAAAAGTATAAAATTAGAAAATTAAAAAGAACAAGAAACGATGAACAAAAAACAAATGAACTATTCGAAATTGGTATCGCAAGCTTTCGCAAGCAAAATCCTATACACGCACAGTGGTTTACGCAGTTGAAAGAGAGGACATAGCGTCAGAAGACCATTAATGGTTCAGTCCAGACTTCCATGGACACAGATTTTTGTACCCGTATCCGGGTATATCCGGCGGATGCAGGCGAATATCGAATGGTACCCTTCTTTTTCCTAGGAGATGTCTGTGAACCAAGATAAAGGGCTCGAAATGGTCAAAAACCATTTGGCCATTTTGGGGTAAAAAATTCAAATGTGCACATAATAACTCATTCGAAAGAGCTCGACGAGCTGAGTTGAATGACACCAAAATCACCGTCTTCGAACAAGTTTAGACCGAGTTACGATACAAAAAATTGTGTGGTTCTTCAATTTTCAGGGACCTGAATCTCGGTCAAATCAAATCAGATTTCGTTGAACTTGGTGTCTTTCGACTCAGCTCCATGAGCTCTTTCGAATGGTGTATTATTTGTATATTCGAATTTTTACCCCAAAAATGAGCTTACTCCCCCCTATGGTTTTTGACCATTTCGAGCCCTATATCTCGGTCCACAGACATCTCCTGGGAAAAAGAAGGGTACTGTTCGACTCAGCACCTTTAATTACCCTATATGTGACATTTTGAGCATTAATATTTGGGGGTGTAACAAAACGGAAAAGTACCGAAAAATTTTTCCAAAAAGTTTTTTAGAACAATTTATTTTAGATGTTTTGTAAATTTACATATAGAAAGTGATCCGGCCACTAGAGCGCTGCCATAGAGCGCCAGCCTACTTTGATAGGCTATAACTTTTTTTCACCTCGATACAATTGAAGGAATCTTATATCATTCGAAAGCGCATGATAAGCGGTATCTTTTTTTCAAATAGATGGATCAGGTCTGATCACTCCCTAAAATTGTTACAACCCGATAAAGGTGAAAAACACCAAATAATTGTACTTATCGGGCTATAACTTTTTAATGGATGATCAGACCTGATCCGTCCAATTGGCATAAAGATACAGCTTATCGAGAGCTTTCGAATGGTATAAAATTTGTTTGGATAGGATCAATCCAAAAAAAGTTATAACCCCTCAAATATGGCTGGCGCTCAAATTTGGCGCTCAAACGACCCCAAAACTAAATGACATTTAATCCCATTTAATGGCTACTGTACTTTTACTGTACTTCTACTGTAGTTTTTTCGTTTCTTAAAAGTTTTCGAGTCTTTTTCGAGTTTTTCTTTTAAAATTTCTTTACCTTTCATTTATCTCTTTAGATTTTCCTTTTATCCTACCAAAAAATTTTTCAACAAAAAATGCCTCCTGTGAAGAAGATTTCCGTCAATAAGATCAAAAAGGATTCGAATTCTCCCAAAAAGTTGAATGTCACAGAGAAGTCTGGCCTTGTATTTCCTCCTCTGCGTATTCGTCGAAAGCTTAAGACTGGTTTATTTTTTAGTTATTTTTTAAAGATTTTAAAGAAAATTTTAAGGTCGTTATGCCACTCGTGTAACCAAACCAACTTCGGTTTATATGGCTGCTGTGCTCGAGTACTTGACTGCGGAGGTGATTGAACTTGCTGGGAATGCTGCGCGTGATCTCAAAGTGAAGCGTATTACTCCGCGTCATTTGCATTTGGCTATTCGGGGAGATGAAGAGGTTTTTTTTGGCTTTACTTTTTTGGGGTATTTTTTGAGTAGATGATAGCTGGGGTTGTGACCGTTGTTAACCCAGTATCTCCTTATTAACCGGTACTTTTCTAGGGTAATCCATAGTTTAAGAACTCTTTTTCGGTTTTATTTCTGGTTAAATATCACATTTTGGGGGAATTTCTGAAAAATCACTTGCTGGGGTTGTGACCGTTGTTAACCTAGTGTCCCCTTATTATCCTGTACTTCAGGCCCGTAACCAGGGGGGGGGGGTGAGGGGGGGAATTCCCCCCCCCCGAAATGGGAAAAAGGAAAAAATTTGGGGAAGGGCTGGGGCAAAAAAGTGAATTTTTTTGGCCTACGGCCTTCGAAATTTTCAAAATTTTCGCCTGCGGCGCTAAAAAAGGACGAAATCTGGCTTCTTGAGGTCCAAAATTCAAAAAATTTTCGCCTGCGGCGCTGAAAATCAAATTTTTGGCGCCTGCGGCGCCGAAACTCTCCATTAAAAATTAAAAAAAAAATTTAAATAAATAAACACATAATTGCCCGTCTAATGATGCACAAACAACCCTTTTAACTTTAAAAAGGGGCGCTTTAAACAGAAAAAATAGGGAAAGAAAAGAAAAGCCCTTAGTTTATTTCAACGTCTCAGAAATTTTCTTTATTTAAAGCCATTCATTTTCCCCTATGGAATGGAAAATTTTTTTTGCTTATATTTTTTTCTGAAGCTTTTTTTGCTTTTAAAACCAATTTTTAAGTTGAGAGAATAGTACAATTTATTTTTTATTTTTTTTTATTTTTTTCTTTCCTTTTTTCCTCCCACATTTCCCACATGCACTTTCCTTCCCTTCACTTTTCGTCACTTTTTCTACTAAAAAATTTATTTAAATTTATTCTGACGGGGAAGTTGGGTTAATTTTTTGAATGTTTTTAAAATTTTCTGAAGCTTCAAAAAATTTTTTTCACGAGGCAAGTTTTGGAAAAATTCCGTCATATCACTCGGAAACCGATTCGGACAAACGATATGGCATTCGAAAGATCTCGTCGAGCTGGGTCGAACGACACCATAGTTGGCTTCGGGACTATCTTTCGAATGACATATCGTTTGTCCGAATCGGTTTCCGGGTGATATGACGGAATTTTTCCAAAATTCCTTCAAAAAATATTTTTTTTCTCACTTTTTCCTCCCAAATTTCCCAAATGCAATTTTTTGTGTGTCTCTATATTTTTTTATATTTTTTCTGCATTTTTAAATTAATTTTCTAAAAAATTTATTTTTTGGTTCTAAAAATCCAAATCAAATAGAAAATTAATTTATACAATTATTCCATTCATAAGGTTCCTTTTCCGTATACGTTTTGATTGATTAACGCGATTAAAAGTGTGGTTTTCGTTGTTGTCATCACACTGACTGGGGGGGGGGGTGTTTTCGTTGAAAGTTCACACACACAAAACAACGAAAAGAAAATTTAGGTAAAAGAAAAATCATTTCTATTAAATTAATTTTCCCCCCTTTCATTAATATAATCAAAATATAAACCCTTTAAAAATTTTTTAATAAAAATTTTATTTAAAATATGACTACAAATAAGCAGGTTAGAAGGGTTTTTAATACCTAGATTTAGCCCAGAAAATAATCTTTCCGTTTGTTGAGTTGTTTGGTTAAGGTGGAAAATCACTAGTTTTGTTGGGTATGGGTTCGAGTCCTTCTGTGTGTAATTTTTTTATTTTTTTCTTTTTACGAAGAAAGGTGTGTCAGAAGCTTCAGAATAATTTTTTGACCGTTTCTCATTTTTCTTTCCTTTATTTTTCATTTTATTTAATTTTTTAAACTTTATTCTAATTTTTTTAATTTCAGCCTCTCACTTATTTGAATGGTTTTGAACAACACAGCACTCATCCAGATTTTGTTGATGCTCTTCCACCTGTTTTGAATAATCCGCAAAAATGTCCATACGGTCTCTATGCTGAACAACTTTCGGGGACAGCCTTCACTTGTCCTCGTGCTTTGAACAAAAGGACGTGGCTTTACCGTATTCGACCTTCAGTGCAACACAAACCTTTTGAACGTTTTCGCGGAATTAATGATGAAAGGTTTTTTTTGAATTATTTTGGGTTTATTATTCAAAATTTAGGATTAGGGAAGTTTCTGGTGTCGTTTTTTCGATTTAATTTTTGCCTGTTTCCGAGTTCATATTGGATTTGTGGAGAATATTCCCAGGGAACGTCCTCAAAAATCCACGAGAATTTATTTTTACAAAATTTTTTAGTTTTTTTGAGTTTTTCTAAAAGCAACTAAAATCCTTTAAATCACTGAAATAGTTCAGAGTCAGAAGCGGAAGGGTAATTTGTTGGGCTGGGCTTCCTGGTTTAATCTTTTCTTGTTTATTTCCGGTTCCACTAAAATCAATTTGTTTTCAAGAAAATTTTTTAATTTCACAGAAATTGTTTGAAGGACCTCGGCTTGCCTTATAGTTTCAATTCAGATTCAAAAACCCTTCGAAAATAAATAAAATAATTTTCGGTACTTTGTTCATATCCCGCCCCCCACCCCTATTTGAGTCTCAGATTAATTTTCCTTCTTTGCTGTCAATCATTTATTTTCCTCCTTTTTTAATACCAATCATTTTCTTCCCTCAAATATAGGATGTCCAAAAGGGCGCGCGGCTAAAACGGCGCAAAGCCACAACTTGCTAGAATATTTTTGATCCTTGTCATTTTTGTTATCAATCTCTTTAGCTCGGTGAAAGGAATCATTTAATATTAATTTTGGTAAGGTTCGAAAATCTTGAAGCAAGTTATGGCTTTGCGCCGTTTTAGCCGCGCGCCCTTTTGGACATCCTATATTTGAGGGAAGAAAATGATTGGTATTAAAAAATGAGGAAAATAAATGATTGACAGCAAAGAAGGAAAAATTAATCTGAGACTCAAATAGGGGTGGGGGGCGGGATATGAACAAAGTACCTAATTTTCTTCTCAATTTACAGATTTACCAATAATTTTGCTCGTTTTGAATCAAATCCAAACCAAATCCGCTGGAAGCCGCACCCGTTGCTTAATAACACTCAAAATGGGGCTATTAAAGTTGATTTTGTTGAGGTTTATTTTATTTATATTTTTAAATTTAAAAAATTTAAAAAATCAGAGTTTTTACACTGTTTGTGGTGCTGGTTCGCCTCAAATTCGTAATGGACTTGCGATTCATTTGTATTCATGTAATGCTCCAATGAAAGACAAGGCTTTTCAGAATGCTGATGGGGATATGTTAATTGGTATTTTTAATTATTTTAGTAAATTTTTTGTTCAAAATTTTAATGAATAACACTCACGTAGAGGAGTAGGGTCTCGGAAAAATACCGAGGAACCTTTGATTTTTCGGTTCGGCTTTTCGTTTTCGAAAATCCGAAGATTTAATAAGAACCGACGACCATCTCGTGAATTTTGAGTGAATTGAGGACTGCCCAGACAGCCCAAAACTGAAGCTTAAAAAGAGCATTAACGTGTTAAAGTTATCGGCAATCCCTCTACCTACCAAAGTAAAATAATTTTACTCGTAATTTGCGGGTGTTTGTGGTTTCACCAAATTCTCTCGTTAATTGAAAGAAAGCTGACAAACCGAACAGAAACTTTTTGATGATTAGACAACCCTATTCATGAGTCCAAACAAGAATTTTTAAATTTTTTTTTTAAATTTACCCTTTTGCAGTTCCACAACAAGGCACTTTGCTTATTATTACAGAATTTGGAAAAATGGAGATTGAACCACAGGAGTAATTTTTTTCTTTCTTTTGATAGATTTAAAATTTAATTTTTTTATAGAATTGCTGTTATCCCTCAAGGCATTCGTTTTTCTGTTGATCCTGTTGAAGGGCCTTCCCGTGGTTATCTTCTGGAGGTTTTTATTTGTCTGATCTTTTAAAATTTTTCTGTTTAAGGTTTTCGGTTCTCATTTTCAATTGCCAGAGCTTGGTCCTATCGGCGCTAATGGGTTATTTTTTTTTTAATTTTACAAAAGTCCGCAAATTTAGTCCGCAATTCTTTGGGGGCTCATAAACTCGAGTTTGGGCTAAGTTTTTGGTAGACCCATAAAGCTTTATTGAACATGTAAACTAGATCAGAGCTGTTTTTTGTCCAAAATTTATAAAAAATAATTGCGGACTAAATTTGCGGATTTTTAAAAAAATCCGCAAAAAAATTTGCGGATTTTTTTAATGTCCGCAAATTTTTTTAAAATTTATTTCAATTTTCTAGATTAGCTAATCCTCATTGTTTTCAAATACCCACAGCCTGGTTTGAAGAAAAAGACGTTCCATTTAAAATAATTAACAAATTTCAAGGATTGTTGTTTGAAGCAAAACAGGTTTTTTTTTAATTTTAGAAAATTAAATTAATTTTTAAAGGAACATTCTCCTTTTGATGTGGTAGCTTGGAGAGGAAATTATGTTCCTTTCAAGTATAATTTGCGCCATTTTATGACGATAAATACTGTTAGTTACGACCATTGTGTAAGCTTTTTTATTTTAGTGAATTTTTGTCCGCAAAAATTTGTCCGCAAAAATTTGTCCGCAAAAATTTTGCGGACAAAATTTTTTAGTCCGCAACTTTTTGCATTTTATTTTTTTATTTTTTGTTCATTTTTCGGTTTACTGGGCTTAAATTTTTTGAATATTTCAGGACCCGAGCATATTTACTGTTCTGACCGCTCCAGGCATCTCTCAAGGTGTTGCTCTTGCCGATTTTGTTATTTTCCCGCCACGATGGGCTGTTGCTGAAGGGACTTTTCGTCCTCCTTATTTTCATCGTTAGTTTTTTTGTTTTATTTATTATTTATCCACAAAGTCCGCTAAAAAAATCCGCAATTCTTTGTCCGCAATTAAAATTTTGCGGATTCTCGGATTTTTAAATTTAACTCTAAACGGACTTAGCTTCCAGGATTAACTATTAAACATTTTTGAGAATATATTGTCTAAAAATAGGGTAGGGGAGATTGCCAAAAAAAATTTTTTTTTATTTTAATTTTTGAACTACAAACAAATAAATTTATTCATGTTAATTTTCGTTTCTCTTTCTTTTTTCTTTTCTCCTCTCTTTTTTCCTCCAAAATTTCCCACACAATTATCCATCCTTTTATTTTTTAGGCAATTGTATGAGTGAATTTATGGGTCTAATTGTTGGTAAATATGAGGCAAAAGAAGGAGGTTTTTGTCCTGGTGGTGCTTCTCTTCATTCAATAATGACTCCACATGGGCCTGACTCTAAATGTTTTGAAAATGCAAGTAATGATAAATTGGGGCCATTGAAGATTGCTGAAGGAACTATGGTTAGTTTTTGTTATTAATTTAATTTATAAAAATTTTTTTGGGCTTTAAAGGAGAAATTTTCCTTAAAATTAAATTTTTTCTGAGGGGATATTTCGGCGCGGCCAGGTTTACGTCGTGACGAGTTTAAAATTAATTTTTTCTGAGAACTAGGATTTGTGGGTGGGGTAAAATTTATTTTTCTGCGATTCATTTCGTCGCGGTAAAGTCTAGGCGTGAGCGTCTAGGCGTCTTTTGAACATTTCGATTTTTGGTAGTTTTATAGGTCCGCGCCTAAAATTTTTCTGCGCCGAAAAGGGATCAAATTTTTAGCAATTCTAATTTTATGGATTTTTTTTTTAATTTTTAAGGCGTTCATGTTTGAGAGTTCTCTAAGTTTGGTAGTTACTGATTGGGCAAATAAAGAGAATGTAGATGAAGAATATTACAAGGATTGGGAGCCGCTCAAGAAACATTTTAATGGGGAAAAATGAAAGGAAGGAGAGAATGAGTGGAATACTTGGAAAAAAAATTTTTAATCTTTTTTTTTCAGAATTTACTTTTAATATTTTTTTACAGATTTTTAAAAAAATTTTGCGATAAAATTTAATATGAAAAAAATTTTTTGATTTTTAAAAATCGTTTTGCTTCGATTTTTTATTTTTTTTTCTATTATTTTTGCTGCATTTTTAAATAATAATTTAGGTTAAAGATGATTGCAAATGTCAAATACCAAATGGAATTAATGTCTAAATCCGTGGATAATAATCGAGAACAAAAATGTTTATTAATTACTAATAGAGGTTATTTTTTAAAATTTATTTTTTTGATTATTTGGGCCAAGGGTCTGTTAGAGTCTAAGTTTTCCCTTATAAGTGGATTTCCGCCCCTGAAATTTCAGACTCTAATGGTCTTGCCAGAAAAAATTTTTTAATAATTTTTTTTTAATTTTAGGGGATGAGGATGAACAATATTCAACAATGCAACCAACAAAATTGACAACAAATAATTGTTCCTCCACGTGTTTATTGGAGAAAGAAGGGCAGCAAAGGAATGGATTTAGTAAAGGACAACGAAAAAAGTCAATAGGAAGTGGAGGTTTTTTCAATTTAAAATTTTTTTAAGGGTTAAGAAAATTAAAAAAAAATTTTGAAAAATTTTCTGAAATTTTTAAGCCTCAAAAAAATTTTTTAAAGAATTTTTAAGACCAAAAATACCAATTTAAAAAGAAATGCCACGACCCGGGATCGAACCGGGGACATTTAGATCTTCAGTCTAACGCTCTCCCAACTGAGCTATCATGGCAACTGAAGGGTTCTCTTTAAAATTTGCTTAAATAAAATTTATTTTAAGGGACATTTCGCGTAAAAAATACAAAAAGAGGTGATTCAATTTTTTTCGGAAAAAAATTTTCGGAAATTTTTTAACCCCTGAAGTTTGAAAAAGAGAAGGGGGAGTAAGCTCATTTTGGGGTGAAAAATTCGAAAATGCAAATAATAGCTCATTCGACTCAGCTCGTCGAGCTGAGTCTGCCCCCGCGATCGACTCAGCTCGGCGAGCTCTTTCGAATGACACCTCATTTGTCCAAATCGGTCCAGCCAACAAAAACCCTCTATAAGTCACAACATTCAAATTTTTTTGAAATTTTAAGACCAAAAATATCAAATTAAAAAGAAATGCCACGACCCGGGTTTGAACCGGGGACATTTAGATCTTCAGTCTAACGCTCTCCCAACTGAGCTATTATGGCTGATAAAAGATAACTTAAATAAACGACTAAAAAAGAGAGAATGAAATTGTATTTCTAGTTGAAACCTGGTAAATAAGAATTATTCCCCCTCTTCTTCTGTTGTTAGACAAACGCAACAGCCAATAACTAAACTTTCCATTCTCTTTAAAATTAGTTTAAATAAAATTTATTTAAGGGACATTTCGCGTGAAAAGTACAAAAAGAGGTGATTCATTATTGACAGATGAAATGGAGTTGGATAACATACAAAATGAAGAAGGAATAATTATAATAGATTCGTCAGATGATGAAGACAATTTATTGACCAATTTTGAAACAAATAATGATTTTAAAAATTTGGAGGAAAGCAAAAATGAAATTGGGGGGAGGCAGGGAAGTGCTGGTGGTGGTGGTGGATTTGTTGGAAATTTGAAGACAAAAATGAATTCTAGACTGAAAAAATTGAAGCCTTCAAGTTGTTGTTTGCCATTTTGGAGGACTGAAAATAATTTTGGGTTTAAACATTTTCGGTAAATTAAAAAAAATTTTTTAATTCCTATCCTATGTGAGACTGAGAATCTCCCTCTTATCACATCTCGACTCGATAATCTCATATCCCACCTCTAATATATCCCACCTGTGTTGTAATCTCTTGTGACTCTGTGTTATGCCAAACAGTAGCCAGAGTTGTCAGCAACTGCAAATTGCGGATTAATTTTAGACTTGCGGACTTTTTTAAACTTGCGGATTTTTTTCGAATTTGCGGATTTTTTTAACAAATTTCGGATTTTTTTTCAATAAATTCGCGAATTATCCACGAACAAAAAATATTTTTGCGGACAGCTCTGGTTGTTAGGCATGACATCCCCAGAATTATCCCAATATGGGATAACTCGAACGAAATTAATTTTTATAAATTTTATTTAAAATCGATCTCCTCTTTCATTTATAGTAATTTAACAACATTTTTTGTTAAAAATTAAATTAAAAATTTATTTCTTTTCCAAAGTCTTTGTTTCAATAACAATTCCATGCATTTCCTTAATTTCTTTCTTGAGCACCTCATTAATTAATTTGTGCTGTTTGACTTTAGGCATTCCTTCAAATTGGGTAGATTCTACACGAACTCTAAACATTGCTCCACAACCACCTGAATTTTTATTATCAGAATATTGGGGTGATTTAAAAATCAGAAATTCCGATTTTTTTAATTAAAAAATCAGAATTTGAAAGAAAAATCAGAATTATTTTTTCCCCCAAAATCAGAATAATTTCAAAAATAATTCTGTATTTTAAAAACCAGAATTTTAAAAAATCAGAATTTGATGGAATCTCAAAAAATAATCTAGGAAGTATTTTTAAAACCAGAATTCAAAAATCAAAATTTCTGACAGTTCTGATTTTTTAGTGTTAAAAATTCTGGCTAAAAATCACAACTAACAATTCTAACTATCAGAATTTCTAACAATTCTGATTTTTAAGGGCCAGAATTTAAAAATCAGAAAAACCAGAATTCCGATCTTGTACCAGAATAAAATTTAAAAATCACCAGAAATATCCTCTACATTAACCACATCCCCACTTTCTTCAGGAAATTGTCCTCGTAACAATTTAGTGATCGATTCTGTTTGTAAAATATCAGATTGCGTCATTGTTGAGAACGTTCCAATAAAATTATTATTTAAAAATTTATTTTTGGCTAAAAAATAATTTTTTGTAAAATTCCTTGAAAAAGAAAACATTGAGAGAAAAATTCTAAAAATTATTTAAAAATTGCTTAGAACAAAAATTAAAAATAAATTTAAACGGAAAGCCTTTTTAACGTTTAAAAATACAAAAAAAAATTTTTTAAGAAAAAAATATTTTTATCAACAGGTGTACAAAACTAATTTTTATGTATAAAATTAAGAAAACAATTAAATAGTTGTTTGTTTGTTCAGGGCTGTGCGCAAAAATTATAAAACGCCAATTTGGATTTTTTGGCGTTTTTGGCGCACAACAAAAAATTAAGAGAAATTCAAGTCTCTCCCCTATAAGTTCGATCAGGAAATTAATTTAAAAACCAAGGGCGAGTCAATAAAATTAAATTTAAAGGAAAATTCCTGAAAAGTCAAAGGACGAATCGAAAAAAATATGTAAATTCTTTTAAAAAATAGAAGGAAAAAATATATTGGAATTAAAGAGAGAAAAATATAGAAAGAAATGCTTAATATATAAAATATATTAGGAATAAGAAAATCAGAATTTATTTAAAAATCAGAAAATTAAAAAAAGTCAGAAAAAGTCCGCAAAAAATTTGCGGAGTCCGCAAGAAAAGTCCGCAAAATTTTTGCGGACATTTTTTGATTTTGCGGACTCTTGGAATTTACAAAATCAGAATTTTATTTCAAAAACATTTTTAAAAATTCTGATTTTTAATTATTTAATTTATTTTCACAACCAGTTTTACAAAATTTGGAGGGGAATTTTCCATTGTTTTTTAAGTTAAAAAGCGGAATATATTTAAGTGCCGAATTAAGTTATAAAATAAAATATATAAAAATATTTTTTTGGAATATTAAAATATATGTTTTTGCGAAATATGTGTGTGTTTGAAGTAATTAAAATTGTATCAACAAAAATTAGAAAGAATAATTTTTAAATCATAGTCTAGTGTAGGGACATAGAGAAAAAAACACGCAATTTGTGTAAATTTAATAGTATAATTCTGACATTTTTTTAAAATTTTGCCTGAAATTTTTTATTGATTTCTAAAAAGATTAGCTAAAATTCAAAATCAAATTCCTCGAAAAACAAGAAAATAGAGCGGAATTTCTCTTTACAACGTCACCCCTCGGAAACTGAAATGAGTAGGAGTGACGTGGATATTTGGGAGGATTCGGGAGGGAATCCCACTATCCAATTAATCCACTATCTAAATCAAAAACGACGTTGGAGATAGCGTCCACTGTCTATAACTAAATTGCGTGTTTTTATAGACCATAAGAGCCTTATCAACATTTTACTTTTTTCAGACTCTAGTGTCCCTTTTAAAATTTTTTCTCAATTTTATTTAAGAAAGACCATTAATTGTATTCACTTCTGCATCCAATGAATGGGGAATACCTCCAATAGTATATCCAATTTTTAGTCGTAAACGGGGCTGAAAAGAGAAAAAAGATTTCAAAAAATCATTATCATTAATTTACCGATTTGGCTGATAAAGCTATTCTTCTTAATCTTGCAATTTGTATTGCAGTAGAAAGTCCGTTTGGTTCTAATCTTGTTGTACTAGCAGGAAGTAATTCAATTTGATAAGTCTATTAAATTAAAAAAATTTTTTTGGAAAAATTTAAAAAATGTCCGCAAAAAATTTGCGGACATCCGCAAAAAAATTTGCGGATTCCGCAAATAAAATCCGCAATTTTTTAAAAATTAAATTAAAAAATCTTCCCTCACATACCTTTATAACAGCCACAGCCAAATTAAAATCCTCTATCAATGTTGGATTATTATTTGTAGAAACAAAACGTAATGAAGCTTCATTATTTGAATCAAAAACCTTTTCAACGTGTAATTGAATTTCTAGTCCTCTTTGATTAAAAATTATTTGGCCGCCAAATGATTCGTGAGATTGTTCACTTAAAAAAGAAAATTTTTGGGAAGGTTTTAAAAATTTTTGGAAAAATATTTTAAAAAATCCGCAAATTTTTTGCGGACTCCGCAAAAAATTTTTGCGGATTTTTAAAAAAATTTTCTAAAATAAAATAACCTTGATCCCATATCAAATAAATTATTTAAATCATCAGTCCTTTTTTGTTGTGATTGAGATAAAATATCTTGTAAGTCTAAAATTCCATTTTGTGAAGGAACAACAGGTTGTTTTTGAGTTGAAGCTCCATTAGATATTAAATCGGTAATTAAATTGCTACCTTAAAAACAACATTTTTTAATAGTCTTTCTACGCAAACTCGAAACAACAACTTAAAACTTGTTTCGTTACAAGGGGAAACCTAATCGAGTTCCATTCATTGGAATAAGGGAAAAAGTGCGGATAAAGTCCGCAAAAAAATCTTGCGGAATTCTTGCAGACAAAATCCATAAAACATTCTTGAGGACAAATCTGCAAAAAATCTGAAACAAGAGTCAACAAAAATTGCGGACTCCGCAAAAATTTTTGCGGATTATGCAAAAACTCATTTCTATTAAATTACCCCGGATCTTAAAACTAACGCAAAGAAAGTCAACAAAAGACTAATAAAAATTCTTTTATACCATTTCTTTGTTGTCCATTAATAGTATTATTATTATCAACTCCTCCTCCACTTCCTCCAAACAATATATCACCCAAACCCAACAAATCAACAACTTCTGGTGCTGCTACTTTTTGTTGTTGTTTTTGCTTTTGTAAAGATTGGTCATCATTAATTAAAGGTGATTCTTCTATTGGCTGTGCTGCTGTATGTAAAGCATTACGTTCAATAGCTGGCATTCTTTCTAATAATCCAAATCTGTTGAGGGGAAAATTTTTGAATAGAAATTTTCATATTACAAAAGTCCGCAAAAAAGTGTCCGCAAAAAATGAAAGTTAACCAAAAGATTAATAAGAAGATAAATCCAAGGGGACGAAAGCAGGTCCTAAAGAACAGAAGGAAAACCCTTTTCTGAAACGAAAAAGCTGGCAATAAGTCCGCCATGGATCTCAAAAGAAAATTTAGAAATTAAAAAAGGTCGAATCCTTATAAGAACCTCAAAATCTGGGTTTCAGAAGCATATAGATTTTTGCTGTCTTTTTTTGCGACCTCGAAAAATCCGCGGGGACGAAAGAATGTCTTAAAGAACAGAAGAAAAAACCTTTTTTTAGAACGAAGAGTTCGCCATGGAATCTCAGGGAAGAAGAATATCAAATGAAAATTTAGAATTTACTAAAAAGGGTCGAATCCTCATAATAACATCAAAATCACGGATTCAGAAACAGATCAAAAGAGTGAACGAAAGATGTCCCAAATCCTCTACTTGAAGGTTCTAATTCTCCAGATTCTCTACCTGGTCCCAAACTCTCTATTTGCGGACTTTTTTTGCGGACATAGATGAAAAATTTTTTTGCGGACTCAAAAAAATCCGCAAAAATATTTTCCCGAAAAAATTTAAAAAAACCTCAAATCATTTTTTAATAAAAGCCTTGCATATTCAACAGATCGTTGTTGCAATTCCAAATTCATATTTGCAGAGTATTGTCTAACAAGTGCATGAATACGTTCTGAACAATTTTCAAATCGAGTAAATAATTTAGCTAAAGCTGTTAATCCAAATTCTCTACTTGATATAGACATTTGTGAAGAAGGCATTAAACGTTCAAAGATTCTGACTACTTCGTCTTCTTCGATCTGAGGAAAGAGGGAAACAATTTTTTTTATTAAAAAGTGGGGGTATTTTAAAGTCCGCAAATTTTATCCGCAAGTTGAAAAATATTTTGTAAAATGTCCGCAACTTTTTGTCCGCAAGTTAAAAAAATTTTAGAAAAAGTCCGCAACTTTTTGTCCGCAAGTTAAAAAAATTTTTAGAAAAAGTCCGCAAAGTTTATCCGCAAACTAGGAAATTTCGCAAAGTTTTCCCCAAGTTAATAATTTCTTTAAAAAGTCCGCAACATTTGTCCGCAAGTTCAAAAAATATTTTTTTTTTAAATCCGCAAAAAAATTTCTCAAAAATAAAAAAAAACCTTTTTGTGTGTCTCCTCTTCCCCTCCAATAATCAACAAATCACCAAATTCCCCTATACACCAAAAAGCAACTTGTAAAAGTGGTTGTGCTGTCAAAACAATTTGTTCACGTTCAGCAGCATGAAATAGTTGTATTGTTGCATATGTTTGAAGTTCAGAATGTGAAGAAATTAATTGTATCATTGCACTAACAACTTCATCGGGGACATAATTACCAGCCTTTTTTAAGAAAAATTTTGAGAAAAAAAATTAAAAAATGGGCATTTTGAAGGAATTTTGAATTCTTATTAGAGGTCGGCATGGGACAGGATCTCGTACGAAATTTTGCGAGATCCTATTCCAAAATCCCGTATTTCAAGCGACAAACGGGATTATCAGGATTTACGGGATTAATCCTGCAAGATCCTGTCCCGTAAAAATTTTTGAAAAAAATCCCGTTACGGGATCCCGGGAATGCGATTTTACCGACCTCTAATTCTTGTGTCCAAAAAGAGTTAGTTTCGGCAAAATTTCGAAATTTTGATAAATTGACCATTTTGGTCATATTTCTCCTTGTTAACATTTTGAAAGAATTACAAAAATGTTGCCCTACCCCAACAAACTTACAATTAGTATTATTTTCTTAAAAAATTAAAATCTCACATACCAATTGTAAAACATTAATCATTGTATCCAAATGCCAAACAATACTTGGAGAAAAACGCTCCGTTGCTATATACATTTTTGAAGCACATTCAGCTTTAAATTCAGAGTCTGCAGTCTCCAAGAATATTATAATTTCTTTTGACATGCTTACAATATTTGTTTGATTAATTAGAGCAAAACATAGATCTAATGCACGCCTGGAAAAAAGGAAAAAATTGATTGAAAACAATTAAAAAAATAAAATGGGATCAAATGTCATCTTGGAAAAATTCCCCTCCAGTTCTATTCTGGTTCAAAAATCGCCAGATTGCTTAAAAATAATAAAACAATGCAAATAAAATAAAAATCCCTCAAAAGGGTTCGAACCCCAACCTATTACACCCCAGAACCCAAACCTTTCCCACTACACCAAAATATACAAACCAGCTAAAAATTTGAAATCGGCAAGGCTACAACCCCTATCGAATTAAAAAAACAAACTTTTTAATAGAAACATCCCCATCCTTTAAACAATCCACAACAGTTGTACGATGACGTTGAACAGCTTGAAAATCAACTCCCACAGTTTTAAGTAATGTATTTAGTGCTACATAACGAATGTTTTTGTCTGGATTTAGAAGAAAACGTCCAAGAATATTTACAGCAAGAACTCGAAGTCCGCTTTCACTAGAAAAAGAACTTTTAAGCTTGTAATAAAAATTCGCAAAAAGTTATGGACATATTTTGCGGATATTTTTTGAAATGCGGATAATCTCAAAACTTGTGTCCGCAAGAATAATTTTATTCCGCAAAAAACAAATGTCCGAAAAATGAATAATTTTCCGTTTGCAAAAATAAAAATCCGCAAAAAAAACAATGTTCGGAAAAATAATTTTTCCATCTGCAGAAATAAAAATCCGCAATAAATTTTTGTCAGCAAACTTAAAAAAATCAAATTTTTTCCAAATTAAATCCCTTCCAAAATATTTAACTCTCAAAAAAACCTTTTAATTTCCATAATAGTCAACACAGTTTCATAAAGTATTGCATTCCCCACATTTTTAGAAGTCTCTGTATTTGTCGCAACTTGAGCCAAAATATCGTTCATTTCTTCACTAGCTTTAGGGTCATCTTTTCCAAGAATTCGCAAAAGTTTGATTATTTTTACTTGAAGGAAAGGATCGCTAATGCTTGAAACATCGTGTTCAGGTGAATAACCAGTCATCAATAAATTTTTTAAAATTCGTACTAAGTTTGGAACCATCTGTGAAAAATTGAAAAATTAAATTTTGAAAATGCATTAGAAATCATTCAGCTTTTGAGATAACTAAAAATTATTTTTTGGTGGAAAACAAAAAAAATATAGAAAATGTCTGCAAGTGTTTTTGCGGATATTTTTTAAAACATATGGGAAATTTAAAAAATTAATCGGCCCTATGTAAAAGGAAAGCCGGAATCATAATGCTAATGCTAGAATTAGTGATTAATGCTGGCATTAAATGCCGGCATCATGGACCGTGTTTTAAAGGACCGTGTCTACTAAAACTCGGCCAGATATAACACGGTCCGAAAAAATTAAAAAATAGTCTTTGATTAAGGAAAAATAAATTAACAAACTAAGGAAAAATAACCATTTCGTGAAAATAAGGAAAAAAATGATGCTGGCACTCCTTTCACACAGTACCAATTAATCCCCGCAATCATCTCCAATAAAAACCAAGTTTAGAAATCAATACTTGAGTAGATTAACAAGGAAGCTTTTTTACAAACCTTTTTTAGGTCTAAGTATTACAATTAGTTTAAAAAATCCCTTAACAAAGCCACCCCTTATGTGAGTTAAAAAGACCAAGTTTACTCAAGTAACACTATTAAGGCATTCTAAAGAAAAAAATAAAAAAAACCTTTTTAAAATGAATTCTAACATCAGAAGAAAGTTCACACATTTCAGTTACAAGAGTTACTCCAGCAATTAGAACACCGTGATGTTTTTCGTTTAGAAGGGAACGAGTACTTGAAATAAACATTTCAATAAGATCCGGAACTTTTCTAACAATTCGGAATGCACATAGAGCTGCCTAAAAATTAAAAAATAAAATTGAAAAAATGAGCGGGGTCTGAAATTTTTTTAGTTGGAAAGTAGAGAGGGAGGGAGTGGAAATGGGGAGACGAAGCCAGGAGGAGGCCAAAAAAAGACAAATTTAAGAGAAAAAACCTTTTTCTTAATATATGTATTTGTTGATTTCAATAAAAGTTTTTCTGCTTCACCAGCCAAATCTCTACACATTTCTGGTGAACAAATAGCGCCAAGAGTGCAAAGAGCAATTCCTGCCACGAACTGGTCATTGTCGTTTAAATGGCTAGAAAATAAAAAATTAAAAAAGTTAAAAAGAATAGAAGGTTGTCGGTTCAGATATCAAGGGGTCTTCCATTTTTTGCGCCGCAGGCGAAAATTTTTTTAAATTCGAAGGCCGTACTTTTTCGACCATCCTTCTCCTAATCCCCCATTTCGGGGGGAGGAGGGCTTGGATACGCCCTTGTCAGATATACAAAAAAACGAAGAACTGGACCGGAAAATGAAAGTACCGGAACCGAAAAATTTTGCTCATCGGTTCGGTTCCGAGCCGATGAGCCCTAATAAAAAATATTTTTCTAAGGAATCGGTTATAGGATTTCCGTGGTTCTTGAAATGAAATAGTTCATCGGTACGAAATTCCCCTTGTGCAAAGAGGCTGTAAAACCTGTCCCTAAACCAGTTACTGTTAAGTTTGACCAAAAAACACTTGGAACCGTACAGAACAAAAACAGCGGGACAGTCAAAAAAAGCAGGAAAAAGACTAAAAAACCTCTTCAAACAATTTGTAACAAGCAAATGAATTTCCGAACGTTCATCCAACAAAAGCATTGCACCGAGATAACCAATCCGAATGTCAGTAAAACGCTTTTCTTTGCTGCCAACAAGTTTAATACATTCTACTTGACCAAAATGGGCTTGATATCCGAGCATGTGGATGTAGAGAAGTTTCGCCATATTTCTTTAAAAAATTTCTTAGAATTAGTAGAGGAATTTTAGAAAAGACTGGGGCATGGGCTGTCCAAAAACGATCGGTTCCGGACCCCAAATACTGGACTAGTTTATTGACCAAGGCATGGAGCTCAGGCGCCCAATGACCTGGATACCTGAGCTACGTGCTAATTCAATGATATGGCATGAGCCAATACCCATAAACTAGAGATCGGCCTGGACCAGGGCCTGGGGGTTTCCTGTACCCATAGTCCAGGCCCAGGCATTTTTTGACCTTCCTGAGGTTTTTTCTGGGCCTGGGTTTTTCCTGAACTACAAGCCAAAAATCCGGCCCATGTCAATAAATCGAACCCAGAACTCAGGAACAGGCCCAGGCTGTTCAAAAATACCGTCTCTACCATAGAATATGGTCTCTGCTTTCACCAAAAAAGAAAAAAAACCCTAGGTTCGGCCTAGAAACCCAGGTTTGGTCCTCTCCAAAAAAATTAACCTGCATTTGTATTTATTGTCCTCATCTCTAAAAAAGTCTCGTATATTTGCACTTTCTCGTTCTACAACAGCACGTTCTTCAGCCGCTGTCCTAGCGGCACGCACTTGGCGAATTAAATCGCGTAAACGCATTGAAGCTCCCAAAGTTCTGAAAAAACAAAAATAAATTTATTAAAATTAACCAAAAAAACCTTCCAAGTCTAGACTTGACTTCATCAATTTTTTCGATTGCGACTTCGACAACGTTAGCCATTTAACAATTATCTGAAAATAAAAAAAATTTTCTAACAAAAACAAGGTAATAAAAAAATAAGAATGACAGTGAAAATATTGCCAATAATGTTCGACTGGATATTTTGAAAATTAGATATTTTAAAAATAAGTTATAATTTGGTATTATGAAAATTACCACAATTAAGTTTTGCTGTCATTTTTAACGAAAATCTTCAGTAAACAGAGAGACAGAAAAGAGAGACGAAAGATAAAAGTGAGACACGAGAGGGGTAAAAAGAAAAAAGTTCGAAAGAATTATGAGTCATTGAGACTGTTAGAGAATTTTTTTATAAAAATCGGACAAATTTTTAGCGATTTTTATCAAAGATTTTCGTTTACTTGATTAATTTTTTTCGATTTTTTTTCTAGATAATCTTATACTATTCTTTAAACAAATAACTTCTAATAGCCAAAAATGAGTTATAGAGAGCGTGAATTACGCGTTTTTGTTGGGTTTGTTTTAACTTTATTTTTCTTCCTTAATTTGTGTAATTTAGAAATTTGCCTCCAGACATCAGACAGAAGGACATTGAAGATATTTTTCAAAAATATGGAAAGATTACCTACATTGATATAAAATCTAAACCTGTTCGAGGACCTCCTTTTGCATTTGTAGGCGATTTTTGATCAACTTTTTGATTAACTTTTTGACTTCAATTTAAGGTCGATTTTGATGACCCTCGTGATGCAGAAGACGCCATTAGAGGAAGGGATGGCTACAATTTTGATGGATACAGACTTCGTGTTGAATCGCCCCGTGGAACTGGCCCCAGTGGTAGAGGAGGGGGAGGAAGAGATGGCGGTGGAGGCGGCAGTCGATTTTCTGGGAAGGAGCCTCCTCGTGGCCGATTTTATCGCGTTATGGTTACTGGTTTGCCTGCTTCTGGCTCTTGGCAGGATTTGAAGGATCACATGCGTGAGGTTTGTTTGTTTTTACGAGTAAATCCGTAACAACTAGGTCGTTGGGGTTTTGGATTTATTTTGGACCGACTTAATTGTGAGGAAGATTACCTAATAGGAGGGGTTAAACGATCTATAGGGAGAAGAGGTAAAAGCAAAAGTTATCGACCCAGTAGCTCAGGCACCTGCATAGGTGTAAGGGAGGTCAAACGAGCACGTCAGCGTTGTTGAAGGTTCGAATCCTAACCGTTGACTGAACTTTTGTTTAACTCTTACTATAGGCCAGGAACAGCATCTTTTCCGTCTCCGGGTTACTTCCTTCTATTTATTTTCTTCCGCCTTCTGCTTTTAAAATGCAACAGGGCCCATCCTTGATAGAGGCATGGACATTCAATCGCAATTTGGAGGGGAAAGTGGTGGGTAAACGACTAGACGGTGTGGCACATAAAACTTACTTGCCTTTTCATTTTCCCTCTCTAGGACTTTTCCTCTTAAATAATTTTTCTTAAATTTAAAGGCTGGAGATGTCGTTTATGCTGATGTTTATCGTGATGGAACTGGTGTAGTTGAATTCTCTCGCCATGATGATATGAGATATGCGCTCAAAAAATTGGATGATTCAAAATTTAAGTCACACGAGGTTCTTTTAATTTTTATTAAAATTATTAAACCATGTTTTTTAGGGTGAAATTTCTTACATTCGTCTTAAGGTAAGTTTAAAAAATATTTTAACGTGGTTAGGAAGGGGTTATTTAGGAAATGGATCTGGTGTCCTAACGTGTTTAAATGCTAGAAAAATTTTTCCAAGGGATATTTGCATACTAGTTTTGCGGATAATTTTTGCGGATTGATTTTCATAAAATTGAAAGACGCTGTTGACTTTTAAATTTCTTAAATTGTACCCCTTTATGCTTTTATATTTATATCATTTGACTTGACTCCTTTTTAAACATCCAAAAAAATTTTTTTGTCCGCAAAACTTGTCCGCAAAAAAATTTTTTTTTTAAATTTTCGATAAGGGACTTTCCAGAATTTTTTTCTAAACCAAAATTCCCCTTTTTAAAACAAAAATTTTATTCAAAGGAGGATGGTGGCCGTTCCCGCTCATATACGCGTAGCCGTTCTCGTTCACGTCGTGGCTCTCCACGTTATAGTCGCTCTCGAAGCCGAAGTTATAGCCGCAGCCGTTCACGTTCCCGTTCATACTATTAACTTAAGAAGAAGAAAAAAATATCAAAAAATGGAAAAGGAAAATGCATTTGTGTGTGTGGTTTTGGATGGCTCAGGATTCAAGGATCAAAAAATTAAAAAAAAATCGGGATCCGTGGATTCTGAGTTTGTTTCTCTTTTTTATTTAAATATAAAAATTTTTGTGTGTGTTTTTTATCAGCCAAAACAATAATATTATAACCTTAAATCCTTTTTTCCTCCCTCCAAAATCTTTCAAAAAATATAAATATTTAAAATTAAAAAGAGGACAATTTTGGGATGATTATTTAAAAATGTCATTTTAACGAGTAGAAAAGATTTTTTAGGAGAGGGGCAAAATTATTTTTTATGGTGTTCCTTTAACAAAATTTGAACTTCCATGGGGTTACAAAATTTAAAAGAAGAGGCGAACATGGACACGGATTTTGGTATCCAGGATAAGGCATATTTTTGGTTTGACTCTTGGACTTAAGTCTTTATCATACCCTTCTGGAACCATCCTATATAATTTAAAAAACTAATCCCAACTTTGACCATTATTGTCCTCTTGGTTTGGTAAAAATAAAAAGTTGTAGGTTTTTGGTTTGTTCATTATAAACAAATTTTTTTGTCGCCCCATTATTTAAACGAATAAAAAGAGCAAAGACCCTTTTATTCTTTTATTAAATCTATAAAAAATATTTTCAGCCTCACTCGGATATCAAGGATTTCGAGGAGAGGCAAACACAAACAAACATGGACACAAAAGGATTTTGGAAAAAAGTGTGTGTTCACGGACAGGATTTTTTTTTGGGAAATGGAAAGGAGACATTTTCAGGCCTGAAAATTGATTTTCTGAAAAATTTTTTAAAAATTATTCGTATAACTTTTTTTTAAAGATTTATAACATTTTTAAGAATATCTTAAGAAATTAACATTTATTTTAATTACAAAATTTTGTTTTCTGTAATAAAATAAGGTATTTTTTGTAAACCATGAAAAATGATAGAAAATCCCATGAAAGATAATAACTTAAATTTAAAATTCGAAGTTTTCAACTTAAAGTTCGAGCCACGCCTCAGGGGCGACCCCCGAAGAGACCAAAAAGAATACAAGTTTTTATACGTCATTTTGACTTTATTTTTAAAATAAAACATTTAAAATAAATAATTTTGTTGTCAAAATTAAATTTTGTTGAAATTACCAGTTTTAATAATCAAAAATATTCAAAAAATAAATTTTTCTTTCAAATTTCCTTCAAAAAATTTTTAAAAAATTTTCTCACCACCCTTCTTTATTTTCCTCACTTGTAACAGAAGTATTTTCATTTTCACCCCCAACAGCTTTTGAAGTTGTAACCATTAAAAGAAGACTAGCCAATTTTGTTTTGACTGCCCCAATTTTTTGTGTTGGATCATCCTTTGCAGCTGCTCGAACCTTTATTTTTGAAATTTTCAAAAAATTTAAAAAAATCCATCAAAATTTACTTGTAAAATAAACCCTTCATCTTCATATTTACGACCATTATATTGCTCAATTACTTGAACAGCATGAAATTTATTAGCAAATTGAACGAGTGTTTCTCCCCCTTCCATATATTGGACATTTAATGGACGAAAATTAGAAAATAAAGAAGCAATTTGGTATTTGTTGAAATTGGGTGGATAACCTTTAAAAAACAGAAAAAAATGATTATTTTTTAAGTTCAGCCTTGATTTATCCATCTAGCTTTGGCCGTAAAAAATCCCCCTCCCCAACAAAAAAAGCTTACGACACCCCCGATTCCCAGGACGTCTCCGTTCCAAGTACTAAGGAGGCCCAGCGTTGCTTAACTTGCCAGATCGGACGGGATGGCGTGCTTTCAACGCGGTATGGTCGTAAACGAAAGAGTGAACAATTTTATTATATAGAAAAGGGAATAGAAACCCCACCCCATTAGTAAAAAAATTTTGACAGGCAACTAAATTTTAATAAATTTTAAAAGATTTTAATTGTAGTTAAAATTAACAAAAAATTCAAACCTTTAACCAACACTTCATTCTCCCTCCCAATTTCATTACCAGAATTTAAATCACGAACATTGAAAGGTTTGATGTTATTATTGTTAGTCTGTTGAGGACGGCCGCCAAAATTGTCAAAAAAATTTTTAAAATTATTTAATGAAAATTTTCAATATTTTTTTATTTAAAAATATTGACTTGCCCAAGAATTGCCCAAAAAATATTACTTAAAAATCAGAAAAAATTTTTAAAAATACGAAATCGAATGTAGACCACCATTTAAAGCCAAAAAACTTAAAAAGGAAAATTAAAAAATTATTGGGAGGGAAATGACCGAAAGTGAACAATACTCTAATTCTAAATTATAAACTTGCGGCTAGGACCCTTCCCTTTAAAGCCAAAAAATTCGTCAGTACTTGTGTAGTTTCCATCCCATAAGCCACCCGGCGCGGGTATTTATCGTCATAGTGCAAGATCTGTGGACCAAATGTCACTTTAGCAAAGAAAAGGAAGAGAAAAAAAGGGGCGGGGTTTATGGGACGGAAACTACACAAATACCATCGCAGTCCCCCTCCTTGTTAGCGGCATAGGACAAGATCCACCCCGAAGATCCCCCAATTTAAAATTAAAAAAAAATTAAAAAAAAAACTCTGAAACGACGAATGTAAAACAACATCCACACACTGTTCAAAATTATTATCAGCATTAAACGAAGGCGAACGACGATCAAATTTATTATTTTTATTTCCTTCTCCTCCCAAAAAAAGATTTGTAGCATTAGCCCCAGTTGCAACAGTTAAACGATAATTGTCTTTTCTAGTATATTTTTGAAAATTTTTTGAAGAATAATTTGAAGGATTCCCTCCTCCTTCTACTCCTTTTGTTTGCTCTAATTTTGTGTTTTTTGAAAAACCCCAATCTTTATTTTCGGCTTTTTGACCGTTATTATTTGACCAAATATCACCAGAAATTCCCTCATCTTTTTCTTGTTCTGCACTAAAAAAACTGACAATAAAGAGAGGCTTTTTACGTTAAAAAAATTTTCGTAGAAATTTATCAGACCAACCCCCCCCTCCCCCAAAAAACTTTAAAAAATTGGACTTAAATTGGGTGAATACACTTTGGAGCTGAATAATCTTATTCTAAAATGAGGTGGAGGGTATCGACGCTCAAACAGTTATTCCCCCATCAGGGCTCATTTGCGGACAATTTTTAAATTTGCGGACAATTTTTTTCATTTGCGGACAGCCATGCTTCCCTTTGTGTCCAACCACATTTTTAAAAAATTAAACTAAGATGAGTGTATAAATTAATGAGGGTATACATAAATGAGGTCCGGCTGAATAAAGAAAAGGTTTTAAAAAGAATACCCATAGACTTTAAAAAGATTTAAAATTTAACGTTCGCCGTGCTGTAATTTGTGCAAGACGTCTCCCAATCCATTGATTCATGTTTGCCATAACTTCATCCAATTCATAACATTTAAAATAAGCGAGAGCATTTTCGGCAAGAACGCCTAAAATTTTTTTTTTAATTTTTTCATTACCCAGGTAAGGGACCGAGAGTACTTTATAGTTAAATTTTTTTCGTCTTTACATTACCGTAAATACCAAAAACAAAATTTTCTAATTTCAAATATGTGCCACGATTCACAAAAAAAACTGCAAAAAAGCACTTTCTTATATTTACAAGTGTAGTCAGCAAAAAATGTCAGCAAAAAAATTTTTTTCAAATTTGCAAAAATATCCCAGATTTAAGAGAAGGTAACCCCCTTAGGAGGCAACACCTAACCCAAGTTTAAACACATTCCAAAGAAGTATTTAACCAAAAAAACCTTGTCCAACAAGCGCCCCAGCCAAAGTGTGTTCCTTCAAAACTTGATATTCCAAAGAATCCTTACTCGGCAAAATGTGAATAACATAAATAACTTGTGGATGTTGTTTAGCTATAGTTTCGTAACATTCTCGAGATTGGTCGATTGAACCAGGAATTGCATGACTTTTTAAATAAAATTAATTAGGGACAAAAAAAAGATTTTTTATTGTCCGAAGGTTAGACACTTTTTTGAGAAAATTTCTATTGTGGAAGCGAGAAGAAAGAAAATAGGTAAGCGCTTGGATTTTCATTTAAAATCCACTAATTCCTAACACTTTGATAAAAATGCAATTTTGCAGATAAATTCGGTCTTTAAAACCAAAAATTTCGTTTATAAAAATAATGGAAAATTGGAAGAAAATGTAGCCCTAAACGAGAACATTACCAAGCCCTTTTATTATTACTATGTATTGTCCGCAAATGTAATCCGCAAAAAGGGTCAAATGTGGTCCCTAAACCCTCATTTTGGTTCACCCAGAAGACTCATGGTTAAACTACAAAAAACATTAGTTGCGGCAATATTGAACCAGACAGACCCCTTTTTTCCTACCCAATTTCCAATATATTTTTGCAAAATGGTCAGACCTTCTCCTGTCTTCCACCCAAATTGCCTTTCTAATTTTTGCCTACAATCAAACAAAAAGGATTATTTTTGATATTTTATTTCACATTTTTCCTCTCTAATTTTTTCATATATTTTGGATGGAAGAAAGGAAAAGTCTGACCATTTTGCAAAAATATGGGGGAAATTGGGTAGGATAAAAGGGTCTGCTTGGTTCTATATTACATTAGATGCTCTGTCCCAGTCCCCTAAATAACCTCTTATTTAACCAAAAAAACCTCACAAAACAAATGTCGGAGTTTCATCAAATCTGTGTCCAAGTTGCAATTTTGAGGCGCTAATTTCCAATTGATTAACCATCCAAATACTAAAGTCACTAAATTAGAAAAAAATTTATAAATTTAAAAAATAAAAAAACATGTATTCCTTCACATTTTCTTGGTCATCAATTGAACAAATTAATCCCCATTTCATTTCTGCTGAAGCTTCCATTTCTTTTAAAATAAAATTTAAATTTAACAAAATAATTAAAAGAATAAATCTAAAGAAGGAAATAGAAAAAAATGATAAAAAAATAAATCAAAGCACCAAAAAAATTAATACCCGGCACCGGTCCGGCCAGACTTTCCCGCAGTCCGGGTCCAAATCCCGGGGGGGTTTTTTTGCAATTTCCGTATTTTTCCCGGACTGGATTCATCCGGAAAAATCCGGCAAGATCCGGTCCGGTTCCAAGTTGCAAATCCGGAATCCAGATCAAGAAAAATCGATTTTGCTGTGTACTAAAAAAGTAAACGAGAACAAGAAAAACTCAAAATTTAAATAAAGTTTTCCCACCAAAATTTCATTTTGGAAACTTGGAGGAATAATTCAAAACGTCAAATGACAAGAACAATAACTTTTGAAAAGTCTGATAATTTTTACTGTTCTTGGTAACATTGGATAGAGAATTAAGAGCACTATAAGATACCAAAAAATCAAAAATTTCAACTGTTTGTTAAAAAAGTTATGGTCGATAAAGTGCCGAAAAACCACATTTTTTAGTGAAGTTTGGTTTTTAGAGCACAACTTTTTTATCGAACAGAAGAAAATTTTTGGCCTAAGTACACTTTACCGGGCGATTTTAGATTTTTATGATTTATATGTCAATCGAAAGAGCTCGGCGAGCTGAGTCGAATGACACCAAAATTAGCCCGCGGACTCAACTATGGACCGAGATATGGGTCCCCAAAAATCGAAAAACCATAGGGGGGACCAAGCACTTTTTGGGGGTAAAAAATTCAAATATGCAAATTATACCTCATTCGAAAGAGCTCGTCGAGCTGAGTCGAATGACACCAAAATCAGGTTAATTGTAAAAGTTTGGACAAAGTTACAATAGAAAAATAAACAACATAAACCTACGGGGCGTCGGCGAGGCGCTTGTGCAAAACCCCGCGCTTCGCGCGGGGTTTTGCGGCACGCGCCTCGCGGGGAGTCTACGGGCGCTGGGTCTGGGCTCGTAACATAAACCTATTCCTATCTCCTTTGCTCTGAACGTATTTGGGGCCTCCGTAGCAGCAAAAATCTCCACAGATGTCATAGGTAAGGAGCTAAAATAAAAGATCATAACTTTGCCAAATCAAGTCGGATTTCGTTGATTTTGGTGTCATTCGACTCAGCTTGACGAGCTCTTTCGAATGAGGTATAATTTGCATATTTGAATTTTTTACCCCCAAAAAAGTGCTTGGTTCCCCCTATGGTTTTTCGATTTTTGGGGACCCATATCTCGGTCCATAGTTGAGTCCGCGGGCTAATTTTGGTGTCATTCGACTCAGCTCGCCGAGCTCTTTCGATTGACATATAAATCATAAAAATCTAAAATCGCCCGGTAAAGTGTACTTTAGCCAAATTTTTATTTTTTGGTATCTTGTAGTGCTCTTAATTCTCTATCCAACGGTACCAAAAACATGAAGAAGCGACCATCCCTTCATAAGTTAAAGAGTTCGGGACTAAGTGAGTTTCTTTGCTTGAAATAATTTTTGTAACGTTGGCGTCTCGTCATTTTCTTTGGCATTATGTTTTGTCTACGTTAATTTTACATTAACAAATAATTTTTTTCTGATTTTTTCTTTTCTTATTTGATAAAAGAATTTTTATAAAAATTAATTTTTAATTTTCACTTAATTTTTAGAAAATTAGTTGCTTTAAAAACAACTTTAAAGAGAAGAAAATATGGGTATTTTTGATCTCAGTATTTTCGATGAATTCAAGCGAATGGACAAACGACAGGTTGTTTACCAATTCTTAAATTTTGCGATGATTGTTAGTTCGGCATTGATGATTTGGAAAGGTTTGATTTTTTTATTATTGAAGAGGGATGACATCTGGTCCCAAATTTTTTTTGGCTTGATAGGGATATGATAATTCTGAAAGCCCCCCTTTTCCTATCTTTTTCACAAGACGTTAACGGTCAGATTTTCCTCTCAGTTTGCTTGTTTCCCTATCATGAGCGTTTTAGAGCAGATTGGAGAAGGGTGAGGTTATCTGACCATTTTGAGTCTTTTGAGGAAAAACGGCTACTAATTTCAAGTCTACGATGTTTTTTCTTTTTTAATTATTATTTTTGACGGTCTATTTTATTCATTTTAATAAAATTAGAAAATTCGTTTCCCCACGCGGACTCGAACCCACGACCTAGAATTTCCTTGGGAAACAAATTATGGGGGAGGCATTGGGAGTTAAACTATATCAATTTTAATATAAAAAAATATTTTTAGGTCTAATGGTGATTACAGGCTCTGAAAGTCCAATAGTCGTCGTATTGTCAGGTTCAATGGTCAGATTTTTTATTTTTTAAATATTAGTCACCTTCAAATTTAAGGAGCCAGCATTTTTCCGAGGCGATTTGTTAATGCTCACAAACGATGTTGATGATCCAATTCGTGCTGGGGATATTACAGTCTTTAAAATTGAAGGAAGAGACATTCCAATTGTTCATCGAGTTATTAAAGTACACGAAAAGGATAAAGACGACACTAAATTTTTGACTAAAGGAGACAATAATATGGTTTGTTTTTGGGGATTTTTGTGGGAGTTGTTTTTTATTAGAGCCCAGAATTTCGTTTCGGTCGATATTCCGTACCGTACTACGATAAATACCGGAAAATACGGCCGTAGAACGGTACGGTCCAGACTTTAATTTTTACGATTTTGGCTTTGAATTAGGATTGATTCCCAGCCCGTGGGGGACTTTTTTGTGTATTGAGGTCAGGGAATGTCCTAAAATCGTTTCGGACGAAGAATTTGGGGACTGCCTCTAATTTGAGCCATTCAACGATTCTGAACCCTTTAATCTTTAAATGACCCAAATGAGATTGACCCAAATGAAAAAATTGTCTATTTATTTTTAAGGGTCTAGAATTAAAAGGGTATAAAATTTTAACGATAAAATGGAGGAGACGATAATACGTGCCTGGATGCCATACATCTAGTCTAAATTCTTAGGGGTACCTTTGCTTTTATTTTGATGAAAAACCCATTTTTTGTCCGCAAGTGTCTTGTGGACTTTCTCATTCTCTATAAAAAATGATTATTTTAAAGGTAGATGATCGCGGTCTATATGCATCTGGTCAATATTGGTTACAGCGTAAAGACGTTGTTGGACGTGCTAAAGGATTTGTACCTTATGTTGGAATGGTTTTTCTTTTAAAAAATTTTTTTCTGTTAAATTTTTCAATTTTTAAGGTCACAATAATTATGAATGATTATCCAAAATTGAAATATTCTGTTCTGGTGTTGTTGGGACTTTTTGTTCTTTTACATCGTGAATAGAAGGGAGATGTTGAAGGTTGTTTAGAAGGGTGATTTTATTTTAATTTTTTCTTTTTTGGCTGTTATGTATTTTATTTTTGGGGGGAAATTAGTGACTGGAATTGGGGGATGCTGATTTTTGTATTTTCCCATTTTTCCTAAATGTCCGCATTTTTTGTCCGCAAAAAAATTTTCTGTTAAAATTGATGTAGGTTAGGCCAATTCTCACGTTCTTCCAATTTTTCTATAATGTTTGGAGGTCGTGAAAGTACTGGGATAAGGACAGGTCAATTCGCTTGTTTTTTAAATTTTTTTCTGAAAAAGTCCGCAAATTTTGTCCTCAAAAATTTTTTTCTGTCCGCAAAAAAATTTTTTTGCGGACAAAATTTAAAAATACCTTACCATCTGGAATTCTTTTAAATTTCGAATTTTTTTCTGGTCACTTCTTTGAAAAATATCCTTTTTTATTTCCCTTTTCTATTTATGTAATTTAATTCCTTCCATTTTTCACTGTAAAATTGCGCCTATTTTTTCTTGGATTTTAAATACTTTCATTTTTCATAATATATAAAAATTTGTTGACAGATTTTTTTGTTTTATTTTTAAAAATAATTGGAATTAATCCAAAAATTTTTTTTTAATTTTTTCAAGTCAAAAGTCCGCAAGTTTTGTCCGCAAAAAAAATTTTTTTTTTCTTTCAAAAGATGTATTTTAAACCTTTTTGTTTTTTCACTTTTTCATTGTTGAACAGTTTTTTGCTTTGTTATTCCACAAAAATCCCAACTAGCGTTATTGAACTAAATGACAGGTTTTTGGATGTTATGGACAAAGGATTGTGGTTTGTTGAGGTTTATTTTATTTTATTTTTTGGTGTATCGGGATAATTTTGGGTTTCTTCTGCAGAGGGAGAGGGTTCGAATCCCACACTTGGTCATAATTTTATTTCGGCTAGTTTTTTTAAAAATGCGTCAAAAAATTTTTTGACACGTAAAATAATTTTTCTATACATTTTTCATTTGTTTGGTGTATCGGGATAATTTTAGGTTTCTCTGTATTTGGGGGAAGGTTCGAACCCCATGCTGGGAAATAATTTTATTTCAACTATTTTCACCTTAAAATTACCTAGAATAATATTCTTTGACCTTCCAAATAATTTTTAAAAATTTTCCAAAATAATTTTTTCAACCTCAATTTAGTTTTATGCTCCATGGTGTGCTCATTGTAAACAGTTAATGCCCGTTTGGGAACTTGTAGGGCATGCTTTAGCAGATAAACAATCGCCTGTGCGTGTTGGAAAAGTGGATTGTACAAGGTTTAATAATGTTGCCTCAACTCTTTCAATTCGTGGATACCCTACAATTATTTTGTTTGTTTTTTTAATTGAAAATATTTTTTCCTTGCACTATTTCTGCTTCTAGTCGGTTATTCACTCTTAATTAGGGTTGTACTCCGTCCCCGAAAGTGTACCTCTTCCCTAAAATTTTAAATTCCTCCCTCCCCCCTTGTGGCGCTGCCTCCCCGAAAGCATTTCCAATGGCCCACCCTACTCTTAACGGTTTTTAATTGTAAGAATATTGCCTCATTACCGTTCAAATTTTATTGAGACCTAGACTTTTTAATCTAGGGTTGGGACCCGATTCGGGCCGGTTCGAAAGATCAAGTCGGGCATTGAATTTTGGCCCGAAAGAGACTCGGTAGGGTCAGCCCGATAAAAATGACTCGAACATCGGCCCGACTCGAAAACCCTAAACCTAATCCTAAAGTCCTAGAAACCCCTATACCCTTCAGTCGTCAAATGCTCATTTGGGTCAAATTGAATTTTTTTAAAACTTTTCCTTGGCCTTTTCTCTCAAATTTTCAGGGGTACCTTTCCTTTTCGAAATATTTTTAATTTTATTTTTACTTAAAATTTTAAGTTTTCGCAACGGCATTCAAATCCCTTATGAAGGCGAACGTCGAAAAGAAGACATTATTAAATTCGCCGAAAAATGTTCTGGGCCAGTAGTTGATAAAATCGAAACAAAAGCAGAATTTGAAGAGGTTTGTAGTTTAAAAAATTTTTAAAAATTAAAAAAAAAATTTTTTTCAAGTTGCTTAAATCTGCGGATAAGGAGCCTTTTTTCGTCTTTCTCGATGATTCAGGAAAACAAAAAACTTCTCTTCAAATGAAAATGTGGTTGGAATATGAAAACGTTGCGGACATGTTATTTACTGAAACGAGATTTTTTAAGGCGAATGAGAGAGAAATTATTTCTGAAGAAATTATTGGGGACAAGGAGGAAGTGGTTTTGATTGGGTTTAAAGAGAGTGATTATTGGGTTAATTTTGGATTGAAGGAGTTTGAAAAAGGTTTTTTAATATTTATTTTCAATTCTATAAGGTGTCAAGTTAATTAAAAAAAATTTGACCCCAAACGGATTCGAACTCACGACCCCAAAAATAGAGGAACTTTACCACTTAACCACCAGTGATGTAATTAACTTTTTGATAGAAAATTTTTTTCTAGCCCATTTTAGCACAAAACAAGAGGAGGGAATCCAAAAAAAAAATTTCTTTTTCAAAAATTCTCCGAATTTTTTTCTTTACTCTTCCTTTTTTCTTATTTTTTCCCCTTATTTTTCAAACTATCCACCAAAAAATTTTCTTAATTAAAAATTTTTTACAGGTAAATCAATTTCTGAATGGATAAGACATGAAAGATGGCCACCAATGTTACAATTATCTGCTTCAAATTTACATTCAGTAGCTGATTCAAATAGTGAAAAGAAATTGGTTTTGATTTCTATTGAACCTTTTGACCGGTTAAATTTGAGTACTCCTTCTGGAAGGTTTTTTAGAGTTTTTTAACTTAAAATTATTGTGGAATTTGTTAATTGAAAATTTTGTTACGAATATCAGAAAAAATGAAAAATTTAATTAAAAAATTATTTAACCCCAAACGGGTTCGAACCCACGACCCCAAAATAAAGAATTATACCACTTAGCCATAAGTTGTGATTAATTCTTGGGGGCAGTTCACGTAATAAATTTTTTCAGTTTTTATGACTTGGCAAAGAAAGCAGCCAACAATTTGAGAACAAATCCAGAATTAAATTCGCATTTCCAATTTGGGTGGTTGGAAGGAGGACAAATTGCTAATGGAATTGTGATGGGGTCTTTAACTATTCCAAGTATTTTTTTGTATTTTTTAAAAAATTCTTTGGGTCCCAGAAAATTTTTGAGTAAAATTGAGGGTATTTTGACGATAAGAAATTATTTTAGCCTAAACGGGTTCGAACCCACGACCCCATGAATCAAGAAATTTACCACTTAACCACCAATATCGTTTTTCATAACGTCTAAAATCGTCCAAAATTCCAAATACTTTATTTTAAATTTTCTTTTATTCCTCAAAGGTTTGGTTGTTTTCAATTTCTCCAGCTACGAATTCTTTCTTAGCGACGATTCTAATGAACAAATGACCGTCCATTCTTTACTTTTATTTTTACAAAGAATTAAAGATGGTCAAGTAAAAGCGCAAGGAGGGCGTGCTTGGGTAACTCGAATTAAACGAATGTTTTACGACGTTACTACGTTTGTTTTTTTTATTTGAGATTGTTAGAAATTAAAAAAGTAAATAAAAAATTGTTTGACCCTGAGAGGGTTCGAACCCATGACCCCCTGAAAGTTAAAAATACCACTTAACCAAATTTTCTGTCTTTAAAAGGTGTTGGAATTAATTTTTACAACTCAGAAATTAGAAGTAAAGGATAAAGAAAATTGTTTGGCACTGAAAGGGTTCGAACCCGTGTCCCCTAAAAATAAAGTCAAAAATGTTACCACTTAACCACCGAGTGATTTTTTCGTTTTTTAATTTCAAAAAAAAATTTTTTTAAGCAATCTACTCGATATGTTCAAACATCAACCAATTTTAACTGTTTGTCTATTTGGCGTTCCTTTAGCATTTTTCTCAATTATAACTTATTCAATTTGTTCTGCCGATTTTTCTGTTGATAGAGATGAAGTATATGCAGAAGATGAAGAATTGGATGAAGAAGAGGAAGAAGATGAAATGAATGAGGAAGGGCCTAGTTCTAGTACAAATACCTCTGCGATTGAAGGTTTGTTGAAAATTTAATTAATAGACCCGGAGAGGGTTCGAACCCACGACCCTAAAAGATAATAGTCAAAAATTATACCACTTAACCAGGGTTGGACGAAATGGGGTAGTAGGCCTTTACAGTGTGTATTGCGTAAATCCGAATATTTTGACCCGGAGAAGGTTCGAACCTACGACCCTTAAAAATAAAGTCAAAAATTATACCACTTAACCACGGAACTATGGATGGAGGGACCTTTTCAATGGTAATTGAGTAAATCCGCAATATTTTTGCGGATTTTTTTTTAATTTTTTTTTCTTTTTAATTTAGACGACCACATAAAAGCTGAATAACAACACAGCAAAAGAAAAACAACATTTTTGCAATTTTTTATCCTTTGCAAATATATTTTTTCTAGTCAATTTTTTTATTTAATTGATCTCCAATTAAATTTACAAAAAAAAATTTTAATTTTGATTTGGCCAATTATTTTTAAATCTTTTTTATATTTAGCTAATTTTTGGAACCTTTTTTCTTTATTTTATTCCTCATTAATATTTTGAAAAAAAATATTTTTTAAGAAGAAAATTAATTTCACAATTACGGTTGACCCTCAGCTTTTAGGGCTGAAAAAATTAGGGGGTAGGTATTTAAATAACGGAGGGATCGATTTGGGAGCTTCTTTAAATAGGCAGCTCCCTCCCATTATTAGGCAGTTAATTTTTATAACTCAGAAATTAAAAGTAAAGAATAAAGAAAATTGTTTGGCCCTGTCCGGGTTCGAACCCATACCCCCCCCCCCCCCCCCCCCCAAATAAAGAAAAATGTTACCACTTAACCACCGAAAGTTTTCACAGACCCTAATTTTGTACCGCCAAATTTCAGAATTTCTCAAAATAACCAGTCTAATATTGAGTCTCCCTATTTTTAAAAAAATAAAATCAATGGATCAACCTCCCCCCAATTCATTATCTAAAAGTTGGTCGTGTGCTGTCGATTCCAACAACATTTCTAATAAAAACAATTTTCATCATCGTCCATCGGCTTTGAGTGCTGTCAGTTCTCGACTTCCTTCCTTCGATGGCTTTCAACTTTCCCCAATTGAAGATTTTAATTTTGACCCAAATGATAGGCAATATTTATTTTGTTGTGGAAAGGGCCATTCTACTATTGGAGTGAAAGTGATAGCTGGGTATGTTTTTTAGTTGGTAGTCCTATATGTTTTAGATACCCTTTTGGGTTCTAAAAATATTTTAAAACTGGGAGGTCTCCAACACTCGTTAAGGGAGGCCGCAGGACCGGGGGGCTAACCTTAATCTAGTACATATAGTGATCGAGATTATTGAAAAGCCTGGGCCTGTTACTTGGTTCCGGGTTTGATTTAATGAGCTGGGCCGGATCCTGGGCTGTAGTCCAAGAAGGTCAAAAAATGCCTAGGCTTGGACTCTGGATACAGGAAAACACCAGGCCTTGGTCCAGGCCCAGCTCGATCACTACTCTAGTATGATCCTTCCCCTCGTTAACACTGGCTCCTATATCCTTTTAAAAAGAGGGTGTCCATAAAATAGAGGTTCAATTGTTTTTTCTTTTCAACAAACACAGAATGTTATGTCTAAGCGTCCTCTCAGAATTATGGCTAATCACCCAACAAATCCTCACCTTCCACAGCCACCCCAACAATTCATTGTTTGATTCTTTATTTCAACTTTTATTTGGAGCTGTGTTAGCAACAAGTATGGTGTTAGCTATTTGGCTAGAAAATTGTACTCTTTTATTGCCATATCTATTAATGCAAAGTGTTGGACTATGCGCTTTGTTTGTCCCTTTTTTAATTTTCGAATGAAAAATTTTTTCAAAGTTTAACTATTTTTTTGGCTTTAATTTATATTGTGGTGTTGGACAGGGATTTGGAAACAATTGAATTTTTACTTGATAAGTATTCGCCAATAAGTCTAGATGAAGGAATGAGTGATGGCTACAAAAGTTTGTTTTGACAGCTTTCTAAGGATATAGGGAAAATTACCCTTTGTGAAAATAAAAGGACTGACATTTTAAAAAATACAAGGAAAATGATCATTTTTAAATACATATGAAGAAGGTACAACCCAAGGTACCGTAAGCCCAAGGTACCACAGAGCTATAACTTGATTTAAAGTGATCGAATCCGAGATGCCTTGGCATGGTTCGATGTACCTCAATAAGTTGAGTCGAAAAATACTAGGGCGTTCCGGATTCAACAATTTTGAGAGAAGTTATAGCTCTGCGATACCTCGGGGTTGCGGTACCGTGGCCTGCTCCTGGACGATCTTTTAAAGTTGAGTGACCATTTATAATGATATCTCCCTTCAGTTTGCTTAGGCTTGTTCCTCTGTATGGCATGTTTTTCACTTTTAATGCTCCAATTCTGGTTTTTGTCTATAGTAATTGCTTGTTGGCGATATTTCCGAGACAAACAAACATCGTTTATTCAAAACACCAACAGGGTTAATACTTGTATTATTCTTCACCCAATTAATCAAATTGAGGTCAGGAAATAATTTTAAACTTTAAAAATGATCAAAATTCATTTTAGGATGAAAAAGTGGTTGTAGATATTTTTGAATGAGGAAAGAGATGATTATTCGATATTATGAAATTTTTTAGTTTTCTGACCATATTGACATTTATTGTAAATATGACCCTTTTGAAACTTATTAGAGGATGTGATTAGATTTAGACTCCAGGGCTCTCATTCGTGCTTTATTTGAAAGTATTATACTTTGAAACCGACCTCCATACTTAAGAAATTGAATTTATACTTTATTGAAAGTATATACTTTAAAATCAACATTTTGGATTGAAAATGAAATTGGGGAAGGGATTGGGCAAAAAAGTGAATTTTTTTAGCCTTGGGCCTTCGAAATTATCAAAATTTTCGCCTGCGGCGCTGAAAAAGAAAGAAATCTGGCTTCTTGGGCTCCAAATTTCAAAAAATTTTCGCCTGCGGCGCTGAAAATGGGAGAAATCTGACTACTTGGGCTCCAAATTTCAAAAAATTTTCGCCTGCGGCGCTGAAAATGGACGAAAGCTTGAGGTTAAGACTGTCAGGGCTTTATTTCTTGTATCAGCGAATTTTGACATGTCATGCGTTGAAATGCACAAAATGCCCAATGGAAGCAAGAAATTATTAGAAAAGATTCATTTAAGAGAGAAATATAAAAGATTTGAGCACGAACAAATATTTTCCAATTTAATTTTGAGTATACTTTAAATTTGGAAATTTTCTCCCTATATACTTTTTTATCAAGATTTTGATACTTTTGAGTGGCATTTTGTCGATGAGAGCCCTGATTTAGACGTTTTGGAGTCTTGATATTCTGAGAAATTAGAGGTATGACCATTTTGAGGCTTTCTGGAGTTAAGATTTTGATAGAGATCGGCACGGGACAGGATCCCGTACGGGATTTTCTGGATCCTGCCCCGAAATCCCGTATTTTAAGCGATGAACAGGATTTACAGGATTAACCCCTGTGGGATCCATCCGCAAAAATAATTTGAACAAAATCCCGTTTCGGGATCCCGGGAATGCGGTTTTATGAGACCTTTAGGAGTCTGACTATTTTTGTTCATAAAATTAGAACATTTAAAAATTCAATTAACAAAATTTGAAAAAAAAAATCTACTCTGCTGAAGCTACTTGTTTTAATTGTTCCTTCCCTCCATTTATTCTTTCCTTTGTATCATCTGCAGAAATTGACTGCGCTTGTTTGGGTTTGATTAAATCAAACTTTAAATAAAATAAATTAAAATAAAAATTAAAAAAACCTCAACAGGCAATAATTGTGAAGGCATTGCACGCCTTATTCTTGCATATATTTTGTCTGTTCTTTTACCCACAATAAATCTTTGTAATCCATCAGCAGCAGTACAGACGTGGCAGTTAACACAACGATGGCCTCTTTCTAACTAAAAAAATTTTTTTCGAAATTTTTGAAATAATTATTATTTCAATCGAAATCTTTGGATTTAAGGGCTATTCTATCCGATGGAATTTTTTAAAAATTTTTTTAAATTTTCCATATAATCCTACTAAAAGTTACATCCGAATAAAGATCAAAATCACGATTGCCCGCATTTTTCAGTTCATAACTTTGTGGAGAATAATCTGATCAAACTAATCCTGCTAGATAAAATAACCCTCCTTTCCAGAGCTTTCGATTGATATAATAATTATTTAATTCGGTTAAGAATAAAAAAAGTTATGACCAAAAATATGGCCCCAGACTGAAATGACAATGCTTAAAAGCCCTTTACTGGAAGAGTTTAAGTTTAAAATATATCTTAAAATATCCTAAAGAATTTATTTCAACCTTCTTTGTAATTTTTATATTCTTATCAGTCAAAAATACACGACTTAAAAAATATTTTCCCTGAGTGGGATTCGAACCTTACACCCTCTACCCTTCAAAACCCAACACTTTCCCACTACACCAAAAAAAATTTGGAAATTAAAATTTTTGCCTATAACTAGTCCTAAAAAAATCAGAATTTTTTTGAAAATCAGAATTATTAAACCTGAGTGGGATTCGAACCTTACACCCTTTACTCTTCAAAACCCAACACTTTCCCACTACACCAAAAATTTAAATTTAAAAAACCTTTAAAATTCTTGGGTGTTTTTCCTCTTTTTCCTTTGACCGTTCACCTTTAGCCATAATAAGATAACTAAAATCCCCAACATTTGTTCCATCTTTATTTAAACTTGTTGTTTTGTGATCTGCACGAAATTCTTGCCATCTTACAGAAAATTTACAAGATTCTTTTTTGGGTATTTTTGGACATCGTTTATCATGAGGACATGGGGCGAAGACGTGACCGGGGTCGATTAGAGTTGGAATTTTGACGTCTTCAGGTAACTGAAAGGTTATAATTAAAATCAGAATTTCTGAAAAATATCAGAAATAAAAATCAGAATTTCTGAGAAAAAAAATCAGAATTATTCTGAGAAAATTATCAGAAATAAAATCAGAATTTTTCGAAATCAGAATTCAAAAAATTCAGAAAAACCAGAATTAAAATCAGAATTTCTGTCAAAAAAGATCAGAATTACTGAGAGAAAATCAGAAAGAGCCAGAATTTTAAAAAATCGGATTTTGGGGGAAAAATCAGAATTCTGAATAAAAATTTCAGAAAAATCAGAATTAAAATCAGAATTTCAGTCACAAAAAATCAGAACCTCTTAAGAAGAATCAGAATCTCTGTCAAAAAAATCAGAATTATTCTGTAAAAAAACAGAAAAAAAAAACTAAAATTCAGGAAAAAATTTTTCAGAAAAATCAGAAACCCCGTTACAAATCAAAATAAATTCTCTTACCAATTCTCTAGCTCTACAATATTTTTCATATGTCTGCAAATTCTTGTCAGACAACATTTCAATAGTATCTTGATCTATAGCCTTATATTCATACAATAATTCTTTTGTTTTTTCCAAGTCAAAATCATATCCAGCAGTTAAAATAAAATCACGAATTTTAATTAAACCTTTGAAAGCATCTGGCATTGGAGATTCTACTATTACTAGATACCTAGGGAAAAAATTTTTTTTGAAAAATTTTTTAAAAATTTTTTTTAATTTTAAGGCTCATTTGAAAGAGCCAATCAAGCTGAATCGAATGAGACTAAACTTGACTTAATATGACTTTAATGAACGAAATTATGGACATTTAAATAAACTCAATCAAAATTTTGCGGACAAAAATTTGCGGATTTTTTTTGTCCGCAAGAAATTGCAGACTTCTTCCCCTGTCCGCAAGAGAAAGCAGACAAAAATTTGTCCGCAAAAATTTGTGGATTTTATGTGTTGTCCGCAAAATTTGAAAATAAAAATTGCGGACATCACAATAAAAAAAGGGACCTTTTCCCTTGTCCGCGAAAAATTGCAGACTTTTTCTGCTGTCCGCAAGAAAAAAGCGGACAAAAAATTTGTAACTTCCCTTTTGACCGCAAAAATGCAGGCTTATCTCTAATGTCCGCAATAAAAAAGCGGACCTTTTCTGTTGTCCACAAAAAATTGCGGACACATTGGGATCAGATTTATTTTTCCTCATTATTTAATTTAATCTAAATTTACTTATTTGTTCGTTTCCACAGCTTCTCAATTAATTCTTTCCTCGCTTCTTGTGATGGCATTTCAATAAGCGTTCTATGTAAAATAACCAAATCGTAAGTGTGTTTTGGTGAAGGAAAAAGTTCTTTTCGAAAAAATAAATTTTTGGAAATTAATTCTCCATTATTTGAATAATTTGGGCCCTAAAATTGTTAAATTTAAATTTTAAAAAATAATTTCAAACTCTTGATAAATCAATAGAAAAATGCCGCATAGATAAATCATTGTCTATTAATGAATATTCTTGAACACTATCGCCTAGAATAAAAAATAAGAAAAATCAGAATTAAAAATCAGAACTTTTCAGAAAAAAATAAAAAAATCAGAACTTTTCCAATAAAGTTCTAATTTCTGCGAATAAAAATCAAAACTTTACAAAAAAAATCAGAATCATTCGGAAAATCAAAAAACCATTAAAAATCAGAATTACCTCGAAAAAATCAGAATTTTTCTGATAAAAATCAGAATTTTAAAAAATATAAAAACAAACCCCATCTTTCATATGCTGCCCAAAAAGAAGAGCCTATTCCACTTCCAAAATCTAATATTTTTTCTGGTACAAATCCATTTCTATCAAATTCGGCAAGAACTCGTTTCATTTCAGCAAAATGACCTCCGAACCTATTTTCAATTTTAATTAAAATTTTAAAGGCATTCAAAAATTTCAGAACAAATTCTGAAAAAAAATCAGAAAAAATTTAGGAAACTCATCCAAATTTGCGGACAATCCGCAAAATTTTTAGCGGACAATCCGCAAATTTATTTGCGGATTGTCCGCAAATTTTGGCAAAAAAATTTTTCAAAAGAAAAAAACCTGGAAAGACAATAAACAGTTGCTTGTCTCAAATCTTTAAATTTTAAAGGTTTCCAGTTGTATCTTCTAACAGCCAATCTTTTCTGAACTAATTTGGCTAATTGGGTTTCGATAAAAGGGCGATTTTGATAAATATTGTAATCGTAACAAAATGCTGGATTTTCTTCAAAAATTTCATCCAGAATCTCACGGCGAGTTTGACGAAATTCTACAATGCTTGGAGGGAAGTGACGTTGATCTAATTGGTTTGATAACTAAAAATAAAAAAATTTGCGGATAAAACTTGCGGACGTCCGCAAAATAAAAAAATTTTTTGCGGACGTCCACAAAAATCGAAAAATTTTTGCGGACAAAACCTGCGGATGTCCGCAAAAATCAAAAATATTTCAACAAAAAACTAACCACATCAGCTTCTCTCTGTAATTGTTTTGGAGGGACTCTACTATCCAAAAGTATTCCTCCCAAAGCTTCTACGGCATCCAGGGGCAATTTAGAAAGTTTGGTAACTCGAGGGTTGACTATAGCTTCTAAAAATGATTAAAATTTAAATAAAAAAATTAAAAAAATAAAAAAAAACTTTGAAAAAATTTTCCAAAAGAAATTTTAAAAGTAAACACATTCCCCCATTAAAATAACATTAATTACCCAAGAAGGGTTCGAACCTTCAACCTATTTTTAAAAAAAACTTGTAAGTATCCCAATACACCACAAATGTCCAAAGAATTTAAAAAACTTGTTTACTGCCAAATAAAAATAAATTACCCTCGGCGGACTCGAACCTAATGCCCTCAATAACCCAAAACCTACAACTATCCCACTACACCACAGACAAAAAACTCCCGTAAACTCTCCCCAACATGATGCCACATAAAAAATATATATTAAAAAATTAAAAACAAACTTGGAGGCAAAGTTAATTTAGCAATTCCAACAGTTTCTGTACTGTTATTGATTGTTGTCAGATGTGCACATCGATTAGCAAAAGTTCTATTAAGTAAAGGATCTTGATGTCTTCGCCTTTTTTTCTTCAAAATTACTAAATTTTCTTCTCTTTCATTGATTGAGGTTGTTGGAAGGGGAAGTATGTTTTTATTTGGCACAGCTATTTGCTTGATAAGTTGACGGGAAATAAAACGGCGAACCATTTTCTTGTAGGGGAATAATTAAAATTTATAGAGAAAATCTGAAAAGCAAAAAAATTAGAAAAAAAATATTTTTGAAAAAAAAATATTTAAAAATTTAAAACAAATTTTAATTTAAGACAACGAAAAAAATTTAAAAAATCTTTTTATTTTAAAATTTTTGGTAATTAAAAGACAAATAAAATATTTAAATAAACACAATTAATACAGTCAGACCTCACTATGAAAATGTATCATATAACGAGGTGCGCCTTAAATTATGAAGTATCGCTCAGTCAGCCAGCCTCCCACAACTTATGGCCAATCAAAATTTAAAAAAAAGCGGACTGTTTTTGTCCGCAAAAAAATGCGGACTTTTCTCAGTTATCTGCAAAAAAATTGCGGACATTTATTTGATATCCGCAAAAAATTGCGCACAAAATTCTAGGGTATTTTATAGTGAGGTCGACAATAAATTAATTAAATTCCTAAATTAAAAATTAATTTTACAAATTTCAATATCCTTCATTGGACCAATCAATTTTATAATTTGGATATTTCTTTTTTAACAATTCCACAGCCTTTGTGTGATCTGCACGTCCAAAACCCTTAAAAATGAATAACTTTAAAAATAATGTCAGCCTTGAGACAAGGCAAAATTAAGGAATTTTAGAATTTTTGGTTCTGGTCTAGTTTAGAAGTCTTATGAAGGTTTATTAGGCATTAAAAGTTTGTGAGTCAAATGAAGGTTTGAGCTGAATTAACGATTAAACATTCACTGAACTACTAAATTAGACCCGAGCGGAATTTTTAGGGGCAGTATGTAGAGAAGAAATATGACTAAACTTCTCTTAACTTTATCTCCGTAATGACGTTTTGTCCTATTCAAAGGTAAGTAAAGGTCCAACCCATTAAAAAAAGAAGATTCGTCGAGTTAATCTATCCCTAGTAAGGATTCATTTTTAAAAAAAATTGGAAAAAACCTGTGAATATCCATAAACATTAATATGCTTCTTCTCTGGATCATGAGAAATTCGTCCACCCCCAGGACATTCAAATTTAATACATCCATTAGCACTTTCCTCTTCTTCAACTTTATCAAAAATATTTGCATGGAATTTACACGATTTGTAGCCACGAACAATTAATTTTCTAGAATCGCCTTCTTTAGCCTTAAAAATAAAAAATGTCCGCAAAAAATGTCCGCAAATGTTAGAAAAATCCGTGATAGTTTATAATAGAGGAATAGCGTAGAACATAGTAGTAGATCTCAAAAAGGTGATTTCCTGGTTCTAAAAAGTCAAAAGGTTACAAGGTTTTCAGTTGCGGCTCTAAACAGTCGAGAAAGTTTGAAAGTTCCGCAGATTCACTCAGGTCCCTAAAACCAAAAAAACAAATCCAGGTTTCGGCATGAATACCACTAACTGAGCAAAAAATTGACGGGTAGGCGTCGAAAAAGTCACGATTTCGAATAGCCCATGACATCCCAAAATCCACCCCAATAAAATTCTTACTTGAATCAAAATATATTTAAAAACCCCATGATCATCAATATCAACATCTGCAAGTTTTACTAAATTTGCCATTGAATTATTTGCTGTACAAAATCTTTTAATAATTAAACGAAACATTTTTAAAAGCTTAAAAAATATAGAATAATTTTTAAAATATTTTTAAAAATTTCAAAAAAATTTTTTTCGAAAAAATATTTTATTGAAAACAAAAGCAATTAAAAAATTCAAAAAAAACCGCAAAATTTTTATTTATTTCACCAATCCGTAATTGTCAATTCATCAATTCCCCAATCTTCAAAAGAACCATCTGGCAAATAGCGACGTATAATTATTGGAATTTTTTGATCCTAAAATAAAAAAAAATTTTTTTGAGAATTTTAAAAAATCTGAACGAAGTGTTAAAATGACCATTTGGGTAAGATGACATTCCTCCCATTTAGGAACAACTTTCTCTTTAGATCAATGGGGACACCGAAACAGATTTTAAAAAGCGGAAATAAAAAGCAAAACACCAAAAAAGGTGAAAGCCTAAACAAAAAGGCACACCTCTTCCTGAAGATTCCGGATAAAAAGTCCAACCTCACCCAAAAATACAGCTGAGAAATCGTACTTTATAATGAAGTATATTTTATAGTGGAGGGTACCGCTTAGTTAATTCATCAATTCCCCAATCTTTTATTTTTTTATTTTCTATCGAAAAAATATTTCATTGAAAACAAAATAAAAAGTTTAATTTTTTAAAACTGAAGCGAGAAGTGTCCGATTCTGAAGGGTATTTCTTAACTAAGAGGTCTGACAAATAAAATTAAATTGAAAAAAACCTTGAGTTCTTTCCGCGCAATTTCTAATGGATCTGTCTCTCCTTCAGTTTCAACCATTACAGGTGCTCCCATTGCAATTTGAAGTGCTCTAGTGCCAAGAACTCTAGCTCGCTCATATTTGGTCATGAAAGGAGTCGTGACACGCGAAGTTGAGGCAACCTTCTCGGAAGACTAAAAAACGGTTTATGAGTCCAATAAAGGTTTAAAAATTCAATGAACATCAGAATCACGAGTCCTATAACCTCAAGTAAATTTTCAGTTGACTCAAAGCTTCATTGGACTCATAAACTAAACTAGAGCCAAAATAAAAATATTGGCGCAGCTTTGCTAATAAGTCCAATAAAATTGACTTGAGGCAACAAAAGAGACTCTGAGCAGAATACCCAAATTCTCATAACATTGAGTCGGGATGATGTTGTAATACTAAAAGCTTGGAATACCAAAAGCTTGAAATCCAATAAAATTGACTTGAGGCGACACAAGAGACCAATCATCAGAATCCCTCAATTCCACTATAGTCTCCCAAGCAACAGCCAGTTTGGTATTTCAACAGCTTTTAGGGGGCTGGTATTCCAAGCCTTTGGTAATATAACACGCTCTGAGTCATGTGATTCTAAAAAACTACCCAATCATTCCTAGCTTAACAATACCCACAAAACCAAAAAAAAATAAAATTAAAAATAAAACAAACATCAACAACTTGTATTCGTTCCCCGCCTTCACCATCTTCCCCAGCCTGCTCTTGCTGGTCCAGATCCACATCATCTATTTGATCATCATCCATATAATCGTCCCCTTCACCTTCATCAGGATTATAGTCTCCATCATCAGCCATTTTTTAAAATTTAATTTTCAGTTCTAAAAAATTCTAAAAAAATCAAAATAAGAATTTGAATTTAAAAAAAAAGTAAGATTCTGAATAAACAACAGAAAAATTAAAAAAAAATTTTTTCAATTGATTTTATTCATAAAACAAGAGAACAATATGTTTGTTGACTACTATCAAAAATAAAAATGAAGGCAAATAAAGAATTGTGCGTTAAATGGAGAAAATGTGGATGGATTCTGGTCAAAATTTAAAAATTCTGATTTTAAAAAAATTTTCGAAAATTTAGAAAAATCGAAATTTCGAGAAAATCAGTCTCGAAAAAATAAAGTTTCAGAAAACAAAATTTCGAAAAAACTCAAAACCTTTTTTCATTAAAAAAAGCTCAATTTCTCTCCATTTTACCACAACAATTTCCCCCCTCTTCTTACTACCCCCCAAAAATTCAAAAAAAAAAAATTAAAAAATTCAAAACATATTTTTCGTCATTTCAACCAAAGAACGTCTACTATCTCCATCCACCATCGTCCAAAGTCCCATTAATCCAAGTCCAACAGCCGCCCCCAACCCACTCGATTTCAATCCATAGGGGGCTCTATACAAAGCTCCAGCAATTCCAGCGCCAGTAAAAGAATTGAGTAAATCGTCGCTGCTTCCAAAAATTTGTGAACGAGCAGTTTTTAATAACAATTCGGATATACAATAAACAAAAACGGCGGTTCCAGCTGTGGAGAAATATAAAAATTTATTATGGCAAAATATGTTTTTTGGGGTTTAATGATTATATTTTTGGGGAGTCTCTGAAGTTGAATCTACTTTGGGGGAATCCCTGGAGTTGGTGAGTTTTTTTTTGGGGCCCCTGGAGTTGAATCTCTCTCCTTGTTTCAGTAAGTGATCAAGAAAAATATTCGTGTAAACTGGGGACTAAACATACAAAGTAATTTGGGTCCAGTCTAGTTAGGTTCAGTTATAATCTAAAAAACATAAATAAAACTAACCTGCTTGAGCATAACCACTTCCATATTTAGTTGCTGCGTTTAAAAGACGTGTAATTCCTGGTCGGCTACTTGCTACGGACTAGAAAAAATGATTTAAAAAAATTTTTGAGAGAGATTAGAAAATAAAATGATGGGGAAGGAAAGATGGGGGAAGCTTCTTGAGTTCCGAAAAAATTGAAATTTTAATGCGAAGCTCTTAACCAAGGCAGGGTTAGATTACCCGAAACTGGTCCAAAAAAATATTTAAAAACTCGGCCAGTCCATGATTCACAGAAAATATAGTTTGACACCTAACCGGGTACGGAACCGCAAGCTTTCTCACACGGTAGCCCGCAAATCAAATTTAATAATTTTAATAAAATCCAATTTTTCATGGGCTTAACCCGAGAAAACCCGAGCCCAGATCAGTTTGCCGAAAATTAAAAATGCCGAATCCCGAAAAGGTTTAAACAAATTATTCCAAACCTTTGTATTAATCAACAAATTTTTAGTTAAAGGATTGTTTAATTCCCCAAAAGCTCCTCTCATACTTCCAACAAAAAAAGCACTACCAACAGCACAGCCAATATATCCCATATAAAATTCAAATTTTCCTCTGCCACTTTCATATCCTTCAGGAAGTATAATTTGTGGTTGACTTTCACGGAAAATTGCTGGATCCAACTGAAAAATTTCTTGGATAATACATTTTAAATTTTGCGGACGTTTTTTGCGGACTAAAAAATTTTTTTGCGGATTTTTGTTTTTAACTTCCTTTTCTTAGGTAGCAATTATTTTTTAGGAAATTTTAGTGATTTTCTAAAAAAATAATTAGGGTTGCCGTTTTCGAGTTGGGCCGAAGGTCGAGACCTTTTCGAGCTTGTTTTTATGGGTTGGACCTGTACGAGTCTTTTTCGGGCCAAATATCTTAGGCACGACTCAATCTTTCGGTCCAAGTCGGGCCATTTTGGCAACCCTATAATAACAATAAATGTAAGGCTAGAACACGATCCAGACAAAATACAGTCAGCCCAAAAAATCAAAAAAAAATTAAATGTTAAACCCTGAGAAAATTCTTTCCTCTGTTAGAAATTCTCCAATTAAACCCCTCAAAAACCCAAAAAATTGGCAATAAAAAACCTGCAAATAAGGAGTCATTTGAGCCTTTAAAGGAACCCCAGCATGTTTTAATTGCTCCAAAACAAAAAGAGGTGGTTGTTGTCCTCCCATAGGTGGCTGTATATTTGCTTGAGTATGTTGTTCATTATTCATAGAATTTGGAGAATTTGTTGAATCAGAAGAATTTCCCCACAACCAACCGCTCATTTTTTAAAAGAATTTTTTAAAAATAAATCTAAAATTAAAAGTGTTAAGCAAAGTGAAATTTGCGGACAGACATTTGCGGACAACAACTAGAATAATTTACGGACTTTTTTAGAGATAAAAAAGCGTCTTGACCCCTTTGGCTCTCGTCCCCCCACAGTTGGGAGGGGGACTTTTTTCGGGTCACTTCGGCCAGGTCCCCTCAAGTTGGGAATGTAAACGGAAAAACTTAAAAAAATCGTAAGGTCCGCAAAAATCCAAAAAAAAAAACAGACGCAAAAATAGTCCTTGAAGAGTCCGCAAAAAGAAAAAAAATAGCAAAAATAATACCACACATCATTTGTTCAACAAAATACCCCAAAAGGTTTCATGTCAGTTTTGTCCGCAAAGTCTGTCCGCAAAAAAAAATTTTTTCAATAGAAATATAAAAGATAAAAATTAAATAGGGCATAGAACCCTTTAAAAAATTTTTTTAAAGCTTCAACTAAAATATTATTTAATCAAAAAATGCGCTTGTGTATATATAAATTGTGATGCTAAAATATTTAAAAAATTGAAATGTATGTGATATTGACAAAAAAATTCTAACAAAAAAAAGGAAAAAATGTGGCAGAGGGATAATATAAAAAATTCTTTTTTTTTTTTTTGAAAAAAACGACGAATCCTAACCAGAAAGTTGAAACAAAAAAACCCCAAAAAATAAATATATATATTCAAATATCTCTATCTTATTCTAGAATACTTCCGCTAAAAATGCTTCAAGTTTATTTTAGAAAAAAAAATTTAAGGCAAAAAGTGCAATCAGAAGGCCTAGCCGGGGGGTCAATTTCAGGGGAGGGGCTAAAATGGGGAGTGTGCGCCAATGTCTTAAATTTTTACCTTTAGCCCATTTCGGGGGAGGGGGGGCATTAGCCCTAGAAGCCCTATGCCCTTGAATCCAAATAAAGGGTAAAATACTAGTGTGTGGTGTGTTAAGTTAAACCTTCCCCTCAACCTTTTCTAAAATATTTTTCCCTTCTCTTTCTTAAGCACATGGTCAGAAACACTATAAGTAATTTTTTGTTGAAGAGGGAAAGTAACAGTGTGATTATTATTAAAAGTGGAAGTTTTGATAAAATACTACAGAGAGGACAAGATAGAAATATTTAATAAAATACATAACAATATTTTGAGAAAACCAGAAAAATATTTTTTCTACAAATATTTAAGACTTCAATATGACAAAAATTTTTCAAAAAAATTTTTTTTGAAAAATTTTTAAACTAAAAAAACCTCTATAATTTTTTTTAAATTCAATGCCTGTTATAATGTTGCATCCTTTTTTCGCCATTAGCAAAACTGTGTCTCCAACCACCACCACCGCCTCCATTATTATTATGACCTCTACCGCCATCTTTCCAATCATTGCTATTGTTTCTTTGACGTTTTGAAATTGCAGAATCTTTAAAAAAATTTTTTAAATATTTTTAATAAGTTCAAAAAATCCGCAAGTTTCAAAAAAGTCCGCAAATTAAAAAAAGTCCGCAAGTTTCAGAAAAAAAGTCCGCAAGTTCAAAAAAGTCCGCAAATTTCAAAAAAAGTCCGCGAGTTCAAAAAAATTCGCATGTTTTTTAAAGCCAGAAAAAAATTTTAATATATGAACCTGCTCCAGAAGAATTTCGTCTTTTTGGTCCGTAATTACCTCCAAATTCGCGTTGTTGTTGTTGTTTTTGTGGAGGACTAAATAGAGGTGGAGGTTGAACTAAACCTGGGGGTGGAAGTACAAAATTTGGTGGCGATTGCATTGATGATGGAAGTGGATGTGATGAATTGAATGTATTAAGCTGTTAAAAATAAACAAGGTTAGAGCTTTAAAGATAGGGTTTTTTTAAAAAAAAATGCAGGCTTAGTTAGATGTTGGAAATAGTTTGTTTGACATGAGTCGGATCTTATTAAGCTTTGAGCTCAAGAAAATCCCCCAGGAAGGCAAAAAACCAGATGGCGTAAATGTTATGAATTGAATGATATTCTAACCATCGTCCCTTTTCTCATTTAAAAAAATTATGCTCATCAAATATTAACACAAAATCGATAAGGTCCAAGACCGATAAATCGGACAAAATGTCCTCCAACAGACCAGGGGTTCAAAAAGTCTAGGCATAAATGCTGCGAATGGTTTGTTGGTATGGACCAGATCTTACTGAAAAATTCGGTCCTTAACCCATAAATCCGGCAAAAATGCCTAACATCAACCCATAAAAACAAAATAAAACTCACAAATTTAGGCGTTCTCGGAATTAAAGGAGGCGGATGATTAAACATTGGAGGTGAAGACAAATTTGCTGTAGAATGGTCTCCTCCATTAGTTTGATTAAAAAATTGTTGTTGATTTATTTGTGATTGTTGTTGTGGAGGTGGAGAAGCACCTGGTGGTGGAGGAATTGAAGGATAATTTTGTTGTTGTTGTTGTGAAGCAAAAAATCTAGCTTGGCGTGGATCCATAACTGATGGACGTGGAGGTGGAAGAGCACCAGAAGATTGAGTAGGTAAAGGAATAAATTGAGTATTTAGTGGTGGAGGAGCATTAAATTGAATTGGAGGACCAGTAGGCATTGAGGCACGCTAAAAAATAAGGTAGAAAAATAAATATTTAAAAAGATAAATGAGAGAAGAAAAGTAGACATAAAATCAAAAAAGTAACATAAAACCATTTAAATATGTAAATGCCTTATGGAACGGAAGCCTAAACTTAATACAAGGTGATCAATGTGATTTTTCTCTCAAAATTCTTCTAAAAAAGACAGAACCCAAAATAAATTAGAGGTTGATATGGCATGGCCAAAAAAGACAAAGATAGGTAAAAGAACAATCTAAAACCGGTTAAGATTCAGATTATCTTTTAAAACAAAGAGTGAAAATTGACCATTTTTATTTGTTATATCAGGCAAATTCCAAGAAAAACACTCTTACTCTACTTCTATTTCCCCTTCAAATATTTAAAAAAATCCAAACCGTATATTCATTAGCAGATTTCAAAAAACAACGAGAACTACCACTAGTTCCAGGTTTATCTTCCTCATCCATTTCCATATCATCACCTCCCCCAGCCAATTCTTCCCCATCTACACCATGAACAAAAGGATCATCACCAGCTGTAGGGGAAGGAGCGTCTCTAGGAGGTGATTCGCCTAGCATACAACCTGAACTTTCCATTGTTTCTAATTGCTCTTTAGTCTTCTTAATTCCTTCAGCAAAACGTTCATAAGCCTAAAAAAATTTGAAAAATTTTCTTATTAGCAAGAAAATTGAAAAACTTCCGTCTTATTGTCTCAGAATCGACTCAAAATCAAAACTCGTTGAATTAATTGTGAGTTAAAATGATACCAAAATTAAGCTCAGATGTCAATTGTAAGCCAAATTATGTGTAATTCATCCCAAAATATTGATCAACTCCCTAATCCTGGATATACTTCCGAATTCCTGACATCACTTAAGACCACCCTTAATCCATTGAATCCCCCCTTATATTCCAAAATTACCCCTTATATCCCCATATTGCGGATTGCGTAAAATTGCGTGTTTTTTGAGTTGCGGATTGCGTCTGCGGGTTTTAAAATTAAAATTGCGAGTTGCTGCTCCCTTAAGACGCCCTTAATCCAATGTTCATAAACCTAAAAATTGGAAAATAATTTAGCGAGAAAAAATTAGAATTGCGAGTTTTTTTCCAATTTCGTCCACTCCTAATTCCGAGAGGTCTTTTTATCTAAATGGGAGTCCGAGACATATGACAAATTTTTGTGGTTAAAAAATCCCACTCCCCCTCCTCAAAAAATTAATTTAAAATAAACAAACATCATTAATAACAGTAACATCACGCAATTGTAAATTAAAAGTATTTTCCGTCTTTTTCATTAATTCGTGTAATAAAAGCCCTTTTTGTTTATGTTTTTCAACTGTGTCAAGAAATGAAATTAATTTTTGTCGGGAAGAGTCCATATCTGCTAAAGCTTTAATTCCTTCATTTCGATCTGGAAAAATTTTTTTTAAATACCTTAAAATTAAATAAATTTTGGGGAAAGCCCGCAAGTTAAATCACCAATTCTTTAGTTAAAATTGCTTGCCCGGACATGATTCTAGACTTGTAGTCCAGATCTGTCAATGCTTTCCGAGATTTAATGATATTTTGGAAAAAGTCCGCAAGTTAAATCCGCAAAGGCCAAAAAATACATAGACATGTACAAGAGCCCCTGTCCAAACTTTTCTCATTTCAAGGGGGGATTCCCCTTGGTTATGGGCCTGCTCTAGAAAAATGGCGGAAGAACTTAGAGACAAGAATACGCCAAGGATCAAAACATATATGGTCCTTAAAAGTCCGCAAAATAAAAAATTTACTATTTTATAAGCCTAAAACAATGAGATGACTCAAAGGCAGGCCCGAACGACATGAGAAGCCCAAATATGCCAAAAATTAAAATAATAATAAAAAAACCTTTAACCCTTCCTTGAACAGATTCTTTAAAATTAAAAGAACTTCGAGACAGAATTTCTCTAGCCTTTTCTGTCAACATTTCATTTTTGTAAAAACTTTCAATTGCTCTAATTATTTTTTGAAAATCAATTATTTCAGTAGCATTTTGAGATTCGTCTTTTTCTGTTGCTATTCTACTAACTATAAAAAATAAAAATTTAGAAAAGAATTTAAAAAGAGATTCGAGAAAAAAAATTTTAAAAAAATTAAAGAAAGGTCCCTAGAACAACGGGAGGAATGTCCATCCAAGGAAATGATCAAATTTTTAAGCCATTCACTAGCCTTATAAGGAAAGGTTGCGAGGTGTCCGACCTAAAAACGGTCGAGACCGGGCTCATTCGATAGAGAATATGCCCTAGAATTTTGAGCCATTTTTGCCCGTTTTTTGATCTGGCCAAGATATGGCCTTCCAAAGTCCCAGAATTTGAACTTTGGACTAAAAATTTTCTCGATTATGTTTGACGCTAAAAATAACTAGGATAAGAGATAAAATAAAAACGCCATTCACAGGACCCAATCTAGATCACATGCATCCTTGTCACGTTTTAACATTAATGTTGACAAGGATGGGCCTGGCCAAGAAAAAAAAACTGAGTGGATTTCGATTTGGGGTTTCAAAAATTCTTTATGGATCGGATTTATAAAAGTCAATAACTCAACCATCCCTGACGGACAACATCTGAAGAAAATTACCAAAAAATCGACGGGTCATAGACTAGCGTGCCCGCTCAACTCATCGAATCCTTAACTCATCGAATCGACCAAATTCCTTAACTCATCGAATCGACCAAATTCCTTAACTCATCGAATCGGCCAAAAACACTCAACTCATCGAATCCTTAACTCATCGAATCCTCAACTCATCGAATCGGCCAAAAACGATCAACTCATCGAATTTTTCCAAAAGGGGACGTTTGAGTCCCCTGTTTTTATTTTTCTCCCGAAAGGGCTAGCTGAATCTTCGTTGAAAAAATTTTTTGCTGCTATGGAGGCTAGGAAAAAGGGCTTTTGGGCATAATCGGGGTCTACTGGACTAATTTGGTCCGGTTTTACCCGGTAAAATCTCCAGCATAATTTATTAGGAATGAGATAATGTTTTCAGGAATGAGATAATGTTCTGATAATGTTTTCACTGGCCGGATAAACTTGGATAAGTGCCCGATCAACTAATTAACAAAATTAGGTGAAACCCCAGAAGAAAACAAAAAAAAATAAACAAAACAATAAAAAATCTAAAAAATAAACACGGGGACTCAAACGTCCCCTTTTGGAAAAATTCGATGAGTTGATCGTTTTTGGCCGATTCGATGAGTTGAGGATTCGATGAGTTAAGGATTCGATGAGTTGTAGGGTAGCCATAGACTAGCATAGGAAGGGAGGGAGTTACACTAAAAATCCCTTATGAATTCACTCACCCAATGCCGTCTTCATTTCCTCAATTATATGAGCTGGATAAACATTTCTTTCACCAAACACTTCAACACAGCGAGAAATTGCCTTTTTAACAGTTACACTAAAAATAAAAAATTTCTTAAATAATATCCGAAAAATACAAAAAAAAACCTAGAAATTGTTGTTGCGTTAATCAAATGAGGATGAAAGGTTAAAGTAACATTAATGTCACGTTTACAAGCTGCTTTTTGTACAACATCATTAAGCACATAAATTAGAGCTATTCGGAGTTTATCGTTTGCTAAAAAAATTTAATAGGCGGTTTAATAAACATTCACTAGTATATTTGAAGACAATTTTTGCGGACTAATTTGAAAAAACCAAAGGAGAATAGAGTCGAACCTCATTTTTAGAGGATACACTTTTGAACTAAAAATATCCTTAAAAGCAAGTGTATCCAATACTGGAAGGTATCGTTTATGCAACGTCTCCACAAAATTGCCCAACTTTATAAGCATTCCAAAAGTGAGGGTGGTTAAAATTGAGGTTTGACTGTACATAGCAAGGGCGTAGCCAGGGAATCGATTCTTTCAAGGCCTTGATTAAATAATGGATATTCACATATAAATTGGAATCATGAAAAAATTTTTTGCCCGCAAAAAATTGTCCGCAAACTTTTTGCGGACAATTTATGCAAGAAACTTTCAACACTAAGGCAACCTATTCTTCAGTAAGGGACCAAAAAACCCCTTTAATATCAAACTTTGTTTGTAAATATCCATCCAACAGTTGGCTATTTTATCAATAGATTCTCTATGATGAAGCAACCATTTTGAACAAGTTTGAACTGATTCTTGGGTAGAATTAACACTCATAAGCCTTTTACGCATAATTTCTTCAGTAGGCGGAGAAACCATTTTTTAAATAAATTAATAAGAAAATCTTTTAAAAAACCTAAAAAAAACCTGTCAAAGTAATGGGGAACAAAAACAAATCTTGCGAGAATTTTCTCTCGGGAGAAAAAAAAATTTTTTTAATGCGAAACGAAAAAGGCCAGTTCAGTGCCAGAGTTTTAGTGTAAAATGGGCTGTTTTAATTTTAACGAATAACTTGTCTTATAATATTTGAATCGCGTCAATTTTGGCATATTTCGAAGCGTCTCGAAAAGCTGCGTCGATTGATACCAAAATCGTTTTGATATATGACTTCTTCGCTAAGTTATGGCCCTAGAAAAAAGCTGGCTTTGCGTTAAACTGGCCATCTCTTTATAGATTTTTAGTTTTTGGTGTTTCGTTAATTAAATAAATATTTAAAATATCAATTTTCAAAACGGTAAATAGTGAAGAAATTTGTAAAATGTCTTAAAATTGAAAATTTAATTTTTCTTCCGTATCCTTTTTGTTTTTTTCTGATTTTCGGATAAAATTTTTTGAGGCCTTGTTGTAAATTCTCTGACCAGTATTCTTGCCACCAAATTTCAATTGACCCACGTTATTTTTGCGGAAAATAGTTGTTAGTAAGGTGTTAGAAGGGTTAATCTTGTTTGATCGAAAAGAGAAAAAAATTAATTAGAGGCTCATAATGGTCAAAGAACTTCGGCCTTTATTCGGCAGTTGTGTCCAAGTTTATTTTTGCTTGTTCGATTGGCACTCTGACTCATCTATTTTCTCCCTAATTTTCTTTTTAAATTTTTCAGTTCCTCTATATTTATTTAATTAAAAATGTCAAGTCAACCTCCTTTTCTCGTGTAAGTTTTAAACTATTTCTTCTAAAATTTAATTTAAAAATTTTCTAGTATTGATGGTTATCGAGACACAGACAGAGAAGGAAAGGATTTTCTAGATCCCGAAGCAGGCAAATTCAAAAGGACGGAATATGCCCATTATTTTATTCCTGGCTGGCGAGCTTTTTTGCAGGACAGTTATCAAAGTAAGCAAATTTTTTTATACTATGACCTCACTGTATTTGCTTGGGTAGTTACTGCCTTGAGGAGCTGCCTGGACATTAGACTCTATTAGAGATCGACCTGGGTCTGGACCAAGGCCTGGGGTTTTCCTGTACTCAGAGTCCAGGCATTTTTTGGCCTTCCTGGATTATTCCTGAGTTTGGGTTTTTCCCAGGACTACAGGCCAAGGATCCGGTCCAGTCAATAAATCAAACCTTGAGTTCAGGAACAATACATTAATGGAAAAACATTAATTGCTCATAATGGTCAGAGAACTGCGGCCCTTTATTCGGCATTTGTGTCCAAATTTAAGTGCCTGGTTCCGATCAAACCTTGAGTTCAGAAACAGGCCCAGACCTTTCAAAAATCTCGATCTCTAAATTCAAAATTACACCTCAATATTAATGAAATATGGGAGAGCCCTCATTTTTAGATATTCTTCCCCAAAGCCTTGTAGTGAGCTCCGATAAAATTTTAATTCTGCTTTTTTTTCAAGTGCCTGGTTCCGATTGTGGTTTATTTGAGGCGCAGTTCTTCAAATGTATGGAAGCATTTGGGGCTAAATTGTCTCGTCTTTATTGCGATTTGGAACAACGTGATTTTTCGGAATGTGTTACTGGGGAAAAGAAGGTTAAATTTATTATTTGGAATAAAAGGGTTCTTTCCTTATATCCTTATAATATTTTGCGGACAATTCTTGCGGACAAAAAATTTTTTTTTAATTTCTCATTTGTACACAAGGGGTATTCGGTTACCTAAACTAGAGGACTTTTTTCTCAACTCGAAACACTTTTTCTAACAAAATTAAAATTGTATCTTAAACCGTTAGACACCTGACTGCTCCGGCGCTGGGCGTTGAGCAGTCCAAAGTGCTACCTAGCTATAACTTTGTTCAAAATTATTCAATCTGGGACGGACACCCTGGCATGATTCGATGCACAACGACGTGCTGAAACGACCATTCCCGGATTCGATAATTTTGAACGAAGTTATAGCTAGGTGGTGCATTGGCCTTGCGATATTTTCGCGGTGTATCCTAGCGGAATTTCGGTAGGAGATGGGATTCTGTTGGTCTCTAGTATCTTGTAACATCTTTAAAAATATTTTAAACTCTAAAAATTCTTAAAATTTAGTTTAAACGTTTTCGTGCTATGAAAGACATTCGATTCAAAAAATGGCTTAGAGGTGATCGTCCAACTATGTGGGAACCTACAATTGAATATATTCGTGCTGTGAAGCCAAACTTTGCTGGAATGGCTACTGGAACTGATAAAAAGCCAAAAGTTATTCAATCGGTTAAAACACAATAGTATTTTATTTTTTTAAATAGAAATTATATAAATGTTGTTTTGAGTTGTTTTTGATAGGTTATAAGTGCCCGAGGAATTTTAGGTATTAAGAAGAGGACTTTTTTGTTTATCCCCCACTCAACGATTTTTTACTGGCAAACTTTTGAAATGTTCCCTAAATTAAAAAATCATGGTTTTCCTATGGGAAAAAAATCTTTTTATTTGGACGAAATAAAAATTTTCGGCTCTCCTTCCCTTTTATTATTTCTTAAAATTAGAGGAGAATCCACCTCCAAATTTACTGAAACTCTTGTTAGCCTTTATCCCTTCACCCTAAACATAAGACGGACCAGTAAAAAATTGTTACGGCGACCCAATTTTTTCTTAAAATTTTGTTAATATTAGAGACTGGGCCAAAGCAAGATGTCGAGCGAAAAAACTTTATCGATATTGGGATTTTTCTAGATATCTTTACTAGAGGTTGGCGCGGGACGGGATCCCGCGGGATTTTTCGGGATTTATTTCTCGAGATTTACCCCTCGGGATCCTGGAAGTTCGATTTTTCTACGACCTTCTTTACCTTCCCAGTTCGGTTTCTTGCTAATATATCTATAAATTGTATTTTTAGTGTCAACTGTTTATTTTTGTTTTAATAAATGTTTTCCAAAATAAATTTTTATTTTTCAATATTTTGTTTAATCAAAAAAACTATATTTTTTAATTTTAAACTTTTTTAAAATTATTTTTTAAATTTTTTGAATGGTAATCCTCAACAGGCATCGACTTCTGCCATTTGTCCAGAGACGGTTTATCCAGGTTGATTTTGTTATAAAATTTTTTTGGAGGATTTTTTCTACTTTTTGGATATCCCCCTAGTTTGAGTATCAGGGTTTCCTTATGGGTAGAGAAAGAAAAAAAAATCCCCATAAACAACAGGCGTTTTCCAGTATTGTTTTATGCCAAATTTCGCCTTTTTTGGACTTGAGTCCTTTTGCTTTTTCAAATCACCTTCGGATAACCTCTGATAATCAATGGGCATACTACCTGATTTTCACTGCGTTTCCCTGTGTCTAACAAGGAGAACTAAAATTAGCAGGGAGGATATCCTAAAAAGTATCTCTAACATTTTAGGGTTATTCATGGAAGGACAGTTCTGTCTATTATGGAAAATTTATTCGTCCGTTGCCTGATGGGGTTAAACCGACTCATATAATTGTTGGTGCTGGTTCTGCTGGATGTGTTTTGGTTTTTTTTAAAATTTTTAAATAAAAATTTTGAAATTTTAGGCAAACCGGTTAACCGAAGATCCCCAAAATCGAGTTCTTTTAATTGAGGCTGGTCCCAGAGATTATTGGTGGAATTGGAAAATTCATATGCCTGCAGCTTTAATGTACAATCTGAAGAATAGTAATTATAATTGGTATACTTTTTTAAATTTTTTGTTGGAATTTTAAAGGGCCATATTTCGTTCTGAAATTTGTTTTGGTGTTTTTAGTGTTTTTAGTAAAATTTTGGGCAGATTTTAATTTCAGACAAATTGAAATTTCAGACAAGGACAGAATTGCAGTCCGACACTCGTACATTATTTCACTTATTTTTTCTATGTTCTTTAAGTTTGCTGGCTAATTTAAAGTTTGCTTGAAATTAAGATCTGTCTCGCCGCATATTTTTTTTAATGAGGGGACGGCACAGACAGCCCGATACTTGATATCAGGTCCATAACCAGGATTCTTTTCGTAAGGGGAGAGCAGAGAGGCCTGCTTGATATAATTAATTTTGCCCTCAACTTTCTTCATATAAATGTGCTTTTTAATTTAGGGTTTATTACACTACATCGCAAGAAAAAATGAACAATCGCGCAATTTATTGGCCTCGTGGACGTGTTTGGGGTGGTTCAAGCTCGTTAAATGCAATGGTTTATATTCGTGGACATCCTTTGGATTATGACCGATGGGAAAAAGAAGGAGCAAAAGGATGGGCTTTCAAGTAAAATATTTTTAAATTTTAAACGGGTTAACTATAAGATTAGTGGTTAGTTGTCGGCAAAGGTGGGTAGGACGCCAGATTGAGTCGGATTTTGAATAGGATGCCTGACTGGATTTGAGTCGAAAATTGGACCTAGTTCTGATGTAGGTGCTCGGAACTCACATAAGCACTTTAAAAAAATTTCTGAACTCGGAATTTGACCTACCTCATTGTCAGCATTATAGTTGACTATCTTTAATTCATAGGTCTTGTTTGTTCGGCATGCCTCTCTTGAATCTACGTCTTTGTTATTTTTTGTTAAATTATATCCCTCAAAATATTCCAAACAAATTCTTTATTAATTTAGAAATTGCCTTCCATACTTCAAAAAAGCCCAACACCACGAGCTCTCAACAGGTATTGAAGACCCATTCAGAGGCAGTCAAGGACCCCTTTACGTAACACAAGGACGTTGTGAAAATCCTCTTCATCAAGCTTTTTTGGAGGTTGGAAAGCAACACTCTATTGGGTCAACGGAAGATATGAACGGGTTTAAGCAAGAAGGAATTGGTCCAATGGATATGACAATAAAAGATGGAAAGAGATGGAGTGCCTCTTCTGCTTATCTAAATCCGGTAAAATTTTTATTAAAAATATTTTTTAATTTTGCTAGAGTGTCAGGAATAGGACGTGTTCCCTTATTTTTTAGGGCTTTTTTAGGGAATAGGGCGCCTGTGTACCCCAATAATACTAAATTATAATAGATGACAAAATTTATTTACATATACCAATCCAGGTCAAATTTTTGAAGTTTGACCAACCCCAACCCGACTTTTATCAATCCGTCTCTTTCCTAATGTGTATATTAGGAATGGAACCAATTGAGAGATTAATGGGTACTAGAGATATCGGATCGTGTTGATATCTCCTTCACAAATATCGTTTATCGTGATATCTATTTTTATGGTCCTTAAGTTCGGTCTCTAATAGCCACCCTTTGTTTTTCTTATTTTTCCGGTTGTTGACCGTCTGATTTTTCGAGTGGGGCAAATCACCTATTATATTGATAAAGAACGCAATTGATTTTTCAAAAAAAATTTTTTAATTTGTGTATTTTCCAGATTCTTGACAGGCCAAATTTATATACAACACAAGGAATTACTTGCACACAAATTTTGTTTGATAAACACAGAGCTATTGGAATTGAATTTATTAGGTTTTCAAATAATTTCAAAAAAAATTAGTTTAATTTATTTAAAGAAAAATCAATTTTACAACAACATCTTTAATAGATGCTGGATCTAGAGAAAAAATTTATTGTACTGATGCTGTTATTTTAGCTGCTGGTGCTATTAATACTCCTCAATTGCTTATGTTGAGTGGTTAGGATTTTTTGTTTAATTTTTGAAATTTTTTTTTGAATTTTGGGGAATTTATTCTTGATTTATTTGGGTCATTAAATTAAACATTTTTTAGGTGTTGGCGATGGTGACCATCTTTATGTATGCTTTTTAATATTTTATATTATTTGGGAATATTGGGATTTTTGTTGTCGGCCTACTTATGATAGAATGAGACGTGTTGAAAAAAAAAGTCGGGCGCGTTTTAAATCAGATTTTTCAAAATTTTCTTCAGTTCGGGGTTCGGGGGAAAAAGTTTGGGGTTTTTGTTAAGTCTGGTTTAGAGGCTACGTCCGGAGTAATTTTTATGCTTGTGAGCCTCGCTGTTTTTGAATTGAGGCGTACGAGTTATCATTTTTTGTCAAATCCTCCCACTAGGTTTGTTGGATCGAGTCTGAACCTTTTGGAAACCTTTGTTTTATTTAAATTAAATTTTTAAAAAATTCAAATTAAGCCTCTCAAAATTCCAATAGTGCAAGATATGAAAGGTGTTGGTCGAAACCTTCAGGACCATTTGGAAATTTATGTTCAACAGGTTTTTCTTTGAATTTTAATTTTTTTTTGAAATTTTTTTGTTAAAAAGAAATGTCTAAAACCAATAACATTATATAACAAATCTACTTGGAAACATCCACATAGAATGATGCAAATTGGGGCACAATGGTTTTTAACAAAAACGGGTTTAGCAGCAAGTAGTCATCTTGAATCTGGTGGTTTTGCTAGGTCTAGTCCAGAGGTTTTTTTAAAATTTTTTTTATTTTCTTGAATTTTGTTGGGGTTTAGTTATCTAAAAATTGAAAATTTCCCCTAAATTTGGTCACTCATTTTTCAATAAGGGATGTCCTAAGATCGATAGAAATTCAAAAAACAAATTTGTGGGATTAGCCCATAATCTGGAACTTGCCAACAAAAGTTGTTACAAGAGAACAAACATCTTTTACTTTCACTTCAAGAAATCGACTTCCGTTCCCTTTTCAGCCTGACAATGAGTCTCTCTCTTAAATATTAATTCATAAAGATTTCCAAGACTCTCTTGATCCAAGACTTTTCTTGGGGGTTTTTTCCCAGAGGAAAGTTTTCAGGGTCGTACATCTCTAATAATTCAATTCTCAATTATTTCATTTTTTCATTAGATTCCACACCCAGACATTCAATTTCATTTTCTACCTTCTACTGTTCACGATGATGGCCGTTCTTCTCCAAAATGTCATGGCTATCAAGTACATGTTGGCCCTATGCGTTCAAAATCTACAGGAAGAGTTTATTTAAAAAGTAGCGATCCTCGTGAGGCTCCTTTGTGTGATCCTAATTATTTTGGTGATGAAAAGGATTGGGTGGAATTTAGACAGTCTATTCGTCTTTCAAGAGAATTGTTTGCGCAAAGGGCATTTGATGATTTTCGTGGGGAAGAGTTGGCGCCTGGAAAGGATTGTCAAACTGATGAAGAGGTTTTTTTGGAATTTTTTATTTTTTAAGCATGATTATTGGTTTTTTTTCTATTTTTGGGTATTTTAAATTTTGTGTTTGTTCCTTTTTCATTTGCCCATCAATTTCCTCATCAATTTCTTTTGATCTATTTACCTTTCAAAGAGGAGGAAATACAGAATTCAAAATACCCCCCAAAATTCTTCCCTATATTCATTTTCTTTATGGCACTTTTAAGTGAGGGGGTAATAATCTTTTCACCTTATGAGAAGACTAAATAAAATTAATCTTTAATGAAAATGTGAGGCTCTCAAAAAATTCAAAAATTTCCCTTATTTGAGAATAACATAGGGGGAACTATCACGAGTTTAAGTGAGAAAGGAAGGTAAATAGAAGGAAGATTTAGGAGAAATAAAAAAGTGCAATACTAACAATTCTTTGCTAATCTATTAAAAAATATTTTTATTTTTTACTTTAATTTATTCAATAAAAGACCTGACCTTTTTTAATAGATTGACCAATTTGTCGCGCAATATGCAGCTTCCGCTTACCACCCTTCTTGTACATGTAAAATGGGTTCAAGTAATGATAACTTGGCTGTAGTAGACCCAGAAACAATGAATGTTTATGGGTTTGAAAATTTGAAGGTTTTTAAAAATTTTTTAAAAATTTTTTGAAAAAAAAAATTTTTTTTTGAAAGGTAGTAGATGCAAGTATAATGCCATCAATTATTAGTGGAAATTTAAACGCCCCAGTAATTATGCTTGCAGAAAAGGCGGCTGATATTATAAGTGGAAAGGCTCCTTTACCCTCAGAAAATCCGCCGATTTGGTCGCCTCCTAAAAATAATTGAAAAAAAAATTGAAAAATTTTTTTGAAATTTTTGAAGATTTTTTGAAGAGCTGGGGGTTTTTTTAAAATTTAATTTCTATTTTTAGAAAATGTTGCATTTTAAATTTTAATATTTTTTTCTGTTATTTTTGTTTATTAATTATTTAGTCAGCGCATATTAGATTTTTTTTGTTATTTTTTGGAACTTAAATTTTTTTTTCTATACTTTTTAAATTTTATTTTTTCCTTAATTATTTATTACTTATTTTTAGAATTTCTGAAATTTATTTCCTTTTAATTTTTGTTTATTAGTAAAATAAACTTTTTTAAAGTTTGTTTAGAAACTTACTGGGTAGTTAATTATTTGAAAATATTTGTTGTTTCCGGAAAACGCGAGTTCCAAAATAATAAATATTATTTGAGAATATTTGTTGCTATCTTTTTTTTCCGGAAAGATAAGTGTTGTTGTTTCCGGAAAACACACATCAGTTATTATAAATGCGCGTTTCCGGAAGACGAATGAACTATTTCCGGAAAACAGGAGTATTTCCGGTGTTTTCCGGATTGTCACTGAGTTTTCCGGAAAACTTCCGGAAAAACACAAAAATATGTATGTAATTATTTGTTTCCGGAAAACACATTAACTTTTAAAAATACGTGTTTCCGGAAAACTACTAGGAGTTTCCCTGAACAATAATATAATTTCCGGAAAACACAAAAGTATTTAACTGTATGTTTCCGGAACAACCTTCGGAAGAACATAATGCATAGTATTTCCGGAAAACTTGAAAACTCATTTCCGGAATACTTGAGAGAATTATTTAAATGGTACTTAAATAACCTAAAAATTCTAATCTTTTTCTAACAGCTAAAAATAATTATAAAAAATGTCAAATAATAAAATAGACTCAACCACCACAATAACAACATCTTCAACAACCTTTTCTGATCTCACAACAACAACAAAATCTTCAACAGCTCCAATTAAATTAATGGCAAAATTTCATTTATTACCTCAAAATGAATATGTTACAATTCCGGAAGATTTATTTATTTATTCGGGATTTCTTCGGGAATACAAAAAGGGAATGCTTAATGACAAATTTTGTAGAAATGTTGAGTAGGTTTTGACTAAAAATTAAAATTAATTTATTTTTAAGGGAGAATTTGATCATTCCATTGCCTCCAATTGCGGGAAAACCGGTTTATAAGCATTATATTGAGAAGCTTTGCGAGTTTTTTACTTTGTAGGTATTTTTTAAATTTAATTATTTTTTTGGAATGATGCAGTAATGACAAAGGCCGAAATACCAAACTTCCGAAAGACCGGAAATAGCAAGATGTGGATTGCCAACAACCTTCCATGTGATTGGAAAATATGTCAGGGGTGTGCCGTTTTTCTAACAGCTAAAAAATATTGAGAATTTTTTGAGGATTCTTGGGGTTGTGATCTTTTGTCACTTTTGGATTTTTGACTATTTTTATGGATTTTTCACTAAAAATTTGTCTCGGCACACCCTTGGTATATTTTTTATTTTCCCACAGTTTGGTATTTTGACAGCTTTTCGGGGTTTGATATCTCGGTGTTTGGTGTTACAACGCGCTTCCCTTTTTTGGATTGAGAGCAGGATATCTCGAACAAAAACCTAGGGACGATTTATCCAATTATTTTATTTTGCAGATATACTAGGCACAATTACGGCCCTGGTTCTAGTGCTAAACGCGTGCCTTCCTCTGTTGACATCCGCAATTCAAATGGGCAGAAAAATGGAAATTCTGTTTCTAACAATAAAATGAACAATAAATCGAGAAATGTAATCTACCTATTTTATTTAATTTTTCTTTAATTTTAGCAGGACGATAATAATGCTGCTGGACGTTCACCAGAAAAATCTTCTAGTGGAACGGTATGAGTTTTTTGAATTTTCTTTTTAAATATTTTTTTTCTCGCTTCAGTTTATTGCCGATATGGAAGCTAAGGCAGACGCTAAGGTTTAAACTTTCCTTTCAAAATTAAAAAAATTAATTTTAAGTGGTCAAAATTACCAGATTGGGCCCATGGCTGGTTCTCTGCGTTGGACAAAGACATTCTTATAAGCACTGCTAATGTTGCAAGTTTTCTGACAGCGACACCTTTTGTGGAACACTTTGCTAATTTTTTGGCTATCAAGGTAATTATTGAGACAATTTTTGAGGATTCTTGGGGTTAGGATCTTATGTCATTTTTGATTTTCGAGTGATTTGCATAACACGCCTTTATGCTTAAACGCCGAAATACCAACCTCCCAGAAGCTGCTGACAAGGAAAACTCACGAACTGTAAGTCACAAGTTAGGACTTTTTTGGTACCAATCAATAACAATTGCAAGAGTAAACCGATAATGCTCTAACGATTGGTACCAAAAAAAATCCTAAATTTTGACTTACAGTTCGTGTGCTTCCCTTGTAAACAGGGAATGTTGTCCCAAATATTGGAAGGTTATTAACAATTTTATCTGATATTTCGGCAGCTTTTAGGGGGTTCGGTATATCGGCGTTTTGGCAATACGACGTCATACCCCAATTTTGAGAAAATTTTTTTTTAATTTTCAGAAAAATTTTTTCTTTCAACCTTTTTTGATTCTATTGTCTTATTTTCAATTTTAGGTCCAAGAAATGGAGAACGAAAAACAAATTATGGAGTACCTCAACTATAAATTTGATGACTTTGAAGGGGCTAGACTTAAACAACAACTTTATGTTTTTGACTAGGAAAAATATTTTTTTTAAAAAAGTTTAATTCGTTTTTTAGAGTTAAGAATAGAATTTTTTGTATAAAATTTCTATAAAATATTTTTCTTTTTTAATGGAAATAAATTCCATAAAATATTTTTTAATTTTCATAATTTTTTTGAAAAAATTTTTTTTCAGAAATTTTTTTCAGAAATTTTTCAAAAAATTTCAAAAAAAATTTTTTTTAAATTTTGTATTCAATGAATTGGATCCATTGTATGCTTTATTAATTAATTTTTTTATTCAAAATATTTTTAAAGGCAACAAGTGTTCATCAATTCCTACTGCGGGTAAATGCTCCTTCTGGCTCACCTCTTGTGGACACGTCTTTTGCGGTGATTGTGTTGGTATCGAAAAAGGAGGTAAAAAAGGTTTATTTTATTGGAATAAGTGTATTTCCGGAATTGAATATTGACGGTTTTTCCGGAAAATATAAAATAACTGTGAAGACATTTCCGGAAAGTGTTTTTAATTAAAACATTTCGGAAATTGAGCGAAACGAAAAAATTTCGGAAAATTATTTAACACCTAGAATATAGGTAAATATTCTTCCGGAAAATGTTTGATAGGTAGAAAAAACGGAGGGATAACGGAGTAGAAAAAAAACGGAGTAGTTTTTCAAGGTCCTGTAATTTCCGGAAATTTATGCATTTTAGTACGAGGGCAGGTATGTTGGGGTACATTGTTTCAGGCTTGCTTTGCGATTCAGGAAGAGTGTGAAAAAAACCTGTCGTGTTCGGAGTGCATGCTACTTTTATTTTATTAATCTAATTTTACACATATTTAGCTCTTCTAATTAATCCTACTCGTTCCATATTTTGTTTTGCTTGCCAACACAACGTCAAAGCCGTTCAAATTCGACGCGGGATGGACAACAATGCTGCTATGCTCTTTCGCCCGCCTAATGAAATGTTACAAAAAATGAGTCAAGAATTGTTCAAAATTGGAGAAATTGTTAAATTCCAAGCGTGGCAATCATCAAGTTTTCAGCGACTTCGAAAGGTTGAGGAAGGATTTTTTGAAAAATAAAATTATTTTTAGGATGCTTCTTATGAAAATTATTACAAACAATTGCTTTACAAAAATAGGGATGTTATTGCGACAAAACAGCGTGAATTGGAGAAGGCTAACAGAGAGATTCAGCAAATGGCTGCTTTGTAAATTAAATTTTTTTCTTTTATTAAAAAAATTTTTTTAGTTAAAAAATTGTTCAAAAATTAGAAAAAAATTTTTCGAATTGTCAAAAATTTTCAAAAAAAAATTTCAAAAAAATTTTTTTCAGACTTGAGGACCATAAAAAGGAAATTCGTCAATTAAAGAATAACGCAACTATTTGTATTATGTCCGATAGCTCTATTATGATGCCGCCTCCAATTAAACGCCAGAAATACCCAACATTGAATGGACCTTCTCCTTTTAGTACGCCTCTTTCTTTTTGTGATTGCAAGACTAGCACTCCGGTAAAATTTTTTGTTAGTTTTGTTTAAACATATTCTGGGGGGTTTCCGGAAAATACAAAAAATTTAATATAAATGTTTTTTGGTTTGGGTTAAGCTTTCCGGAACGGGACACGCCCACATTGTCGCCGAGCCATAACTTGCTAAAAAATTTCTGGCCCTTATCAATTTGGTACCAAACTCTTTAGCTCGATGAGAGGAATCGTTTAATACTAAATTTGGAAAGATTAGGAAACCTTGAAGCAAGTTATGGCTCGGCGACAATGTGGCCGCGCGGCAAAGTGGGCCGTACCCTTCCGGAACATCATGTATTTTTGTATTTTTTATTTAACTGATTAAAATTCTGATTCTTCCGGAAAATATGTTTGTGTTTTTCAAACATGTTCTGTTAATATTCTAGTCTGTATTTTCTTTCTAATAAAATTCTGATTTTTCCGGAAAATTCTTGTATTTTTCTTTAATTAATAAATAATTCTGATTTTTCCGGAAATTGATATTTTGTATTTTCCGGAAAGCATTTTTGTATTTTCTCTGTAAATAAAGTTTGTGTTTTCCGGAAATTAAAGTTTCGTATTTTCCGGAAAATGCTTGTATTTTCTTTTTAATAATTCTGTGTTTTCCGGAAAACATTTTTTGTATTTTCTCAAAACATTTACTGGTTTTCCGGAAAAGTATTATTTACAAATTATTTGTATTTTCCGGAAACCAAATTCTGATTTTTTCCTCTTTTTAGATTATGAGTGACTACCTTCCGTCTAATACAAATATGCTGCCTTCTTTTTGTTCAACGCTTGCTCGTTCAAATTCGAACAATAACAACAGCAACAATATTCTCCAATTATTAACTCCTCGTAGAGCGTTAGAGGAAAGTATGTTGGCTGGTAGAGTGCAGTTGCCAGGGTAAATTTTTTTTTTAATTTTTTTGGAATTTTTAAAAAATTTTTTAAGAACTCCTCTTATGATTTGGAACAATAAATAAATTTTTTGTTAAATGAAAAATTGAAAAAAAAATTTTATGTTGTAATTTGAGCAAATTTATTGTAGTTTTCCAAAATTTTTTCTCATTGTTGCCATATTTTTTTTGTAATTTTTGGTGCTTTCAAAATTATTTAAATGATCTTGTGATATTTCACCTATTTATTTCTCTTGTGCTTTAAATTATTGAAAAAAAATGTTTTAATTATGAAGTCTTTAAATTCAAGAACCTAAAAATAAGGTTTAAATACCTTTGTTGTGGGGGTATTCTTTAGTAGAGCTAGGAATAGGACGGGACCCGGTTTCCGGGTTTGTTTTCCCGGGTTTTTTTAAAGATACCGGGATGAAACAGGGAACGGGTTTTCCCGGTCTCGGTTTTTTCGAAATTCCTAGCTCTATAGTTTCCTTTATTCAAAAATAAATAAAAATACAAAAGTTTGGCAAAATGTTTTTTTATTTACCTTTGGGCAAATTTTTCAATTAGAAAATTTGTTTGTTTTTTTAGTTTCTGACCTTTATTGATTGGGGGTCATTCATTGATTTTTCTTAGGTCTCCGCCTTCTCCTAATTATTCAAACTTTGTGAACCTTTTGATTTGTTTAGATATAAAGTTCGTAAGCTATTAAGCGGGACTCTCAACTTTTATTTTTATTGTGGTACATTTTAATTTCAATTACTTTTGCCAAACTTTATACATTTTCTAACTTTTGCATCAAAAATTTAGATATTTTTCTTATTTAATTGAGAAGGAAATGAATTTGAACAACACAACTTACCTCACTCGGTCAACAACAACATCTGATTCTGCAACAACAAAACTACCAACACCAAAAATGCCGTTCCACTTTCAATCGTCGGGAAGTGCAAAAAGAAGAACAAAAAGAACGGGAACTTTTGCCAATCCAAGGTTTTTGATTTTGTTTTTTGTTAATGGGACCCGAGGGCTTTGCTCTCTTCTATAGTTGCTTCCCATGTTTCGGGTCTCCCTCCTGAAATATTTTTCAATTTTTTGGAGTCATTAAAATTTCTGTTTTGGTTTTTACGCCGACCTTTTTCTACGCCGCCCTGACTGTACTAGAGTAATCGAAAGTCCCGGTTCTGTGTGAATTACTCTCATTTGTACGCCCTTATTTCTTTTAATAGCTTGGGAGAACACTTTTTTGGAATCTCCTCTTAATCAGTTTTATTTTTAAGATGTTAGTCATTGGATTGGTGGGACAAAACGTTTAGCAGAGTTTTGAAGGTTTTTTTTTATGTTTTTTTTATTCTGCTGCTTTTATAGGTTCTGATGACGTCCTGTGATGATGCGTCATTTCTGATGGTGATGCTTCATGCCTGGTGCTGCTTCAACATGCCTGTAGGTATAAGTTTATGGTTGGCCTGTACCAGTGATGCTGCTGCTCATCAATGACTTCTTTCCTGCTGATTGGTTTGAGCAAGGACGTTGGCATAGGATGGTTTTTAGTTTTTTAAATAAAACAAGGGCTTATCCGAAAATTTTAGAGTGGATTGTGAATGAAACCACCAAAAAGCAGAATTTCCTCTTTTCAGCAACACAGGTGAAAATTTTGGAAAATCCTCATTTTTGACCTCCCCTCCCAACATTATTTTTCTTTTTCCATTTAAAGGGGAGGTGGTAGCCTATTAGCAACCTACTGGATATGCCTTTGTTTAATAGAGTTGCTCAAACCGTTTTTGGGTTTAAAAATTATGGGGAGGGAATTATAAAGAAAATCCTTACCTTTCTCAATTCTGGATTTTCTGCTTTAAATTTCTTTTTAAAATTAGTTGAATTTTATAAAAAAAAATGGCAAATGGTTTGGAAGTCAATTTTTGATTTAAGGTTTTTAAAATGTGTTTGAGCAACTCTAGAATTTTTTGAATTTTAAAATTTATTATTTTTATTAAATTTATTTTTCCCCTTCAAATAAGAATTGGTGCAAGGTAGAAGGAGATGCCATCGTGTATCTCCTTCAAAGGTAGAGAGAGTTGCCTTAGTGCATTTCTTTCCAAAAGGTACAGGTGGGATGCCCACACCTCTTGTCAACGATGATTAATGCCCCACATGAAGTTGTTATCGTTTTCAGCGATGGGCTCTTTGTTGGGACCACTTAATCCAAGAGTCTTTTGAGCACCCACGAATAATAAAAAATTAATAATTATATTGTATAGACACCCCCCATTTTTTATTTAAATTTTAAAATTATTTATGTATTATATATTATTCGGTAGTTAGTTAACCACTGTATCGTCGCGGGAGGGGGGGGAAGTATTGGGTCCAGTCATCCACCTAAAGTAGAGTAGTTACGCGAAAGGAAATTTTTTTTTGTATCAAAATAAAATTCAAATTTTATTTTTACTTGTATATTTTTTATTTTTTACTGTTACAATTTTTAAAATTTTGAAATCTTTTTTTTGCTTATTTTATTCGAGAAGACATTAAAAGCACGTTTATTTATTTTTAAATTTATTTTTTTTGTTTATGCTCAATCCTTTTAATCTTTTTTTATTGGGTCTACTACATATCATTCACTATCAAGCTTCAACGATTTATTCTTAAATCTGTGATTCATTTTTTAAATTTCTCATATAAATTTAAAGCTAAAAATTTGTCAAAAATGTCAATTCATTTCATTTAAAATCAACCCATTCATTTGGTCCTACTTTACTGGAATTTTGATCCTCTCCACTGCTACTTCCAGTACTCGATCTCGTCGGGCTATGCTCACGAAGTACATCACCCAATGACCTTGAATTTGACGAATTTTGTTATCCGAAGATTATTTACCTATAAACTTTATATGGCACATTGCCGCGAAGGTAAATGCTCGTTGCGAGGTCAACATCATATTGTTTAACTAAATCACCCAATTCCTCACTACATTCCAATTTGCCTTCAGAAATCCATTTTTCAACAAGTTGCTTCTTACCCTAAGAAAGGATGGATTCGAAGATGTTTAAATTAGGGTTGTTGCCGAACGGTTATTAACCGGTACCCCCGGTTTTCGGTTAATCTAAATTTTAGAAACCCGGTTTTCGGTTTTGAGTTTTAGGCAAATTCCGGTTTTATTTTGAGGGTATTTTTAATAAAATCACTCATTTTCACAAATTCCCGGTTTTCGGTTTTTAAAATTTTCTAAAAACGGTTAATTTTTGGCAAAAAATTTCAAAAATCCCGGTTTTAAAACCGGTCGCCAACAACCCTAGTTTAAATGCAAACCTGAACTAAAACAGGTCGACACAGTTCCAACGACTCGTATTTATTTAAAGAACCTTGTTCTAACAATGTAGTGAAATAGATAACAAGAGAATGAGTTGCCTTTGCTGGTGGAGCAGCTTCTTTTAATTTTTGTAACGTCTGTGGGGTTCTAAGAATATTTTTGGGTGCCGTTGCGGCCAATTTTGCAGCTTCATGATAATCCCCGTTTTTGATCAATAAATCGAATTTGCGCACAACATCATCATCAGAAATGTTGCAATGAGAAGCTGATTCGACTACCTCACTGACATTTTTATCCTCTTCGCTGCTACTTTCAGTTCTTGACGTCGTCGGAATCTTGCAACGAGAAGCTGATTTGACTACCTCACTAACATTTTCATCCTCTTCGCTGCTACTTTCAGTTCTCCACGGCATCGGTATCGGTTTACCAGCCGCGTCATCCTTTGACTCCGAAGCAAGTTTGAGACGAGATGATAATTTGAGAACCAAATTCGGGTTTTGTAACTTTTGGGTGACGTAAGGAATGATGGTTTTTTCGTCCAAACAAACAGAGAAGACCTTAAATATAAGTATGATTAAACAAAAACCTTTCCACGAAACCTTTCCATATTCAGTAATTGCAAGAAAACCATCATTATTAGAAGTGTGTTCAGTTGTAATGAAAATAGGATCAGTCGAAATTCTAACTCTATATATCGAACAGCACGTTTCAATTTCAAAAACATGAACATAACCATAATAAGTAATCATATACAGTATCCCATAAGCTGAGGACGCCTAAAAATCAATAAATAAAGCGAGGTTAGACAATTTTAAAAGGCAACGTCAGGGACAAATTTTCGGCAAAGTCCTTGATTAAAATTGATGACACATAAAAAAGTTTTGGATGTTCGAACCAAAATTCATAACTCAATATGAGGATGAGCATTTTTTCATTTTTCTTTATAAAATTACGCAACAAAATTAATTTATCTGAGAACAAGTTTCAAAATTAACTCATTTTTATTAAAAAACCTCAAAATATCAATTCTGTTCAAGAGTCGAATCATATATAGTATTGCAAACAAACCTGCATTGAGAGAGGATATCCATCATAATAATCGAAATCAACAGTCTTCTTTGTGTATTGCTTATTCCTAGTGGGAGTTTTGAGTTCTTTAATGGTCAACTAAAGAAATTTATTAAGATATTGTAGTTCTTATCCATGTAAATTACCTTTACTTTACCCGATTTATATAGAGAATAACAAAGGAGATTGATTGGATCTGGACTCCCTTCCATTTTAAATTGGACAAAACAACCAGCATGAGCTTCAATGTGCTGATCGATGAATTTCCCTTTTCCAAAAAGATGCATTGACCCATCAGTTTGGCCATACTATTTTTATATCAATGTTAGAAAAGAGCAAAAGTTACAACCTTTCTTTTAACTCCAACAAGCAAAAGAAACCTTCCATCAGCGTTAGATTGATAGTTAGTTATTGTTTTAGACGTCAAAGGTGCAGATCGGAAATATACTCTGGTTGGTTCAGAATCATCTTAAGGAATATTTAACAATAATTCAAAATAATAACCAACCATTAAGTGCCCAATGGTAAATCGAAGTCTTTGTCACAAATCCAATGGTATTTGAGTTAATCCATGTCCAAAAATCAACCTCTTTTTTTACTGTAAAAGCTTTTATTTGAACATTCTTATCCAAATCGAATATGTGAAGTCTGTTACCAAAGGCTAAAATGGAGGAATATAAAAAATAGAAAGATAAAATATTAACTTTCAAAAGCCAAAATTCTCCGAGTTGGATGCATTATAACTGACAATATTTTAACACTAAAAGGTACTCTTTCAACTACATTAGGGTTCGCAACATTTATAATAACTACTTCGTTTTTCTCCCTGGCAACAATGCACTTGTCAGATTCCATTCTTATAAATTCACGTTTGAACTCATTCAAATTGATCCCAGTCTTTTGTAACTAAAAAAGAGAGAAATCAACGAGAGAAATAAATCCGAGAGAGTACAAAGAAACCTACTGAAAAGAGTTCCTTAGAACGTATAGGTGCCAAATCCGTCATTTTATTTTAACCTTAAAGGAAAAAATTCTTGTTCAGATCAAATGGAATAGTTAAATTAGTATTGGAATAGTTAAATGCAAGCTCGTATCAAAATTACTATTGTGTACGAGTACGAGAAGAAAATTAGGCCTGTACGAAAGTACGAGTACGAGCAGTTTTCAAAATTCCAAACACTGGTTAAATGGAATATCTAAAAACATTTATAAGCTGTAAAAATGTAGAAAAATGTAAGGATGATTCATCTGGCAATATTTAAATCGAAATAGGCTGGATAGTGTTGAATATGAAGAGGGGTTAATGATTTGTAAGAAAGATAAAGGAAAGTAAAGTTGTCGCTTCGATGGGTAGGAGAACGATTCGCTTTACATAAATATAATTTTTAGATTTTTATTAGCATATTTTGTGCTCTTTTGTCTATTGTTCCTATATTTTTTTCTTTTAATTTGAAATCTTTTTGCCGAGACACGCCCACGTAGGCGCGCGGCCGTGTAGGCACAAAGCCATAACTACCTTGAAAATTTCCGACCCTTATCAATTTTGGTACCAATCTCTCTTTAGCTCGATGAGAGGAATCGTTTAATACTGAATTTGATAAGATATGGAAATCTTGAAGCAAGTTATGGCTTTGCGCTTACTTAGCCGCGCGCCTACTTTGGCTGTATCCTCTTTTCTGCCTGTTTTTTAATTTAAAAATTTAAGACAGAATGAAAGTGGCGCGTTTATTTATTTTTTAAAATTTATTTTTGTGTTTTAATTGAGTACAATTTTTGTAAAATTTTGTATTATAATAATCAACAAGCATAGTAGAAAAATAATAGATTATTTTTAAAAGAAGTTGGGGGTCTATCCAGAAATTTTTTTTTAATTTTTCTTAATTTTTTAATTGTGCTTTTTCCGGAAAACACATGTGTACACACTTAAACTTTTCCGGAAAAATCAGTAATTTTTGTCTGCTCTTCTGGCTGGTTTTTTTTATTTTTGCTCTTCTGGTTAGACTCGAAAAATTCTTAAAAATAGAAATACAATTTTAATAAATGTTCAGTTATTTACTAAATTTTTTAAACATTTTTTAATATGCAAAATTTAATTTCTTAAATTCCTCAATTTTCATTTTGAACAACCGGTGTATTTGTTTGTATTTTTGTATGTTACCAATCCACTTTTATCATTTTGTATGTGGCTGTAGCTAATTTTGGAAAGATGACTAGAAGGGAAAGTAGAAAAATTGAAGAAAAATAAGGATGGAAAATTTAGAAAAAATAATGAAAAATGAAGGGGATTCGAATGAATCCGATAGGGAAAATAGAGACAGATTTTTTGAAAAATTTTGAAAATAAAAAGGGGTGGGGGGAATACACTGGCGAGTAAATTAAAAAAATAATTAAACCGAGAAAATGCAGAAAAAAATTATAAATAAATGCAAATAAAATTAATAATATAATTAGGACGGGATTTTAAAATATTTGAAAATGCTGTGTAAATAGAAGAATAAAATACATTTTTATTTTAGGCACCGTTAAGATTATTTTGTGGTGAGAAAGTTGTATTTATTTAAAAAAATACAAGGGGAATATAAATGTATCAACTGATTTCTGATTTTTATTAATTCTGATTGTTCTTGCTGAATTATAAATTCTGATTTTTAAATAAATCAGAATTTTTAAAATAAATCAGAATTTAGTTGAAATATCAGAATAATTTTCAGAACCAGAATAATTTTTTCAGAATTAATATCAGAATTATTTTTCAGAATTAAAGCCAGAATTATTTTTCAGAATCAAAACCAGAATTATTTTTCAGAATCAATACCAGAATTTTTTCAGAATTAAAACCAGAATTATTTTCAGAATTAAAACCAGAATTATTTTTCAGAATTATTTACCAGAACATTGCTTTTTTCAAAATTCTGGTTTAATATCAGAGATCAGAATTTACATTTATTCTTAAGGTTTAATTTAGAGAAGAAATTTTTATATAAGGCGAGTAGTCGATTATTTTCATTGAGAATTTTGAGTAAAAATAAAAATAAGTAAAAATGCTTCGTTGAACAATAATAAATGGAAAAAATAGGGGGATAATTTTAAAAAATAATAAAAAAATATTTTTTTATTTTTTGCGTAATTTCTGGCGTCGATTACAAAACCAGACACGTACAACCTGCAAAATAAAATTTTCATTTAAAAAATTAAAAAAAAATTTTTACGTCATGATCCAAATCTAGTAAAGTTGCAATTTCAACCATTCGGGCATTGTCTGGACGCCTGAAATTTTTTTGAATTTAATTTTTCAAGTTATTCCGAATTTGAATTAAAGTCGGGAGAGGGCTAGGGGGTTGAGGTTGAGTGAAGATAGGTGTGGGAGATTAGAGAATTTAATGGGGAGTAGGGGATGGGAGTAGGGATGAATAGGGATGTATTAAAAGACGAGGAATTTAGAAAATTATCAGAATTTTATATCAAAACATACGGATCAATTCTGAAAAAGGTATCCAAAGACAATTTTTGTGCAGTATCCAAATTTGTACGTTTCCTTCGTTTTTTGAAAGGTGGCAAAAGAATTTTGGACTGAACTGATTCGTTGTTGTTGTTATTTACAATTGTTGAAAAGGCGTTAATTTTTTCATTGTTCTCCTTTGTTATTTGATTTTGTTGTTGTTGATGATGATTTTCACCTTCTTCTATAGGGGAGATTGATAAAATATTGGCAGTGCAGTCTTGCTGTAAAAATAAAAAAATAATTTCTTTAAATTTTTAATCTGTCTGTGCACAAAAAATATTAAGGTGAGGTATAAACTTCAAATTTGGTGTCTTGAGAATTTTTCCCTCCCAAAGAAGCTTTTGGCGCACAGACAGGATTTTTTTTCAAAATTTAATTACTTTTATTTTTTTATTTATGTGACTGAAGTTGAGAGAATATTTTAAGAAGAATAGATAAAGGATTTTAAAAAAAGTAGCAAAGTGAGAAGGGATTTAGAATAAGTCTTAATCCGTATCAGTAAATGCACTAAAAGCCACCGCCGCAGAAAATAAAGAAATTATTCCTTCAGAATTATTATTTTCATTTTCTTCCTCAGAATGATGATTATTCTTCCATTCTTGTCTATTCCATTCATCTAAAAATGGTTTGCAGATTAAGGGGTATGTGTTTGTGAACAGCAGAGGTGTGCCGTTTCGTATTTTGTAGAATTTCGAGTTTTTAGGTGTTTCGCATTTCGCTTTTAAATTGACTTTCGCGTTTCATCTTTCACCTTTTAAAATCAGTTTCGCCTTTTCATCTTTCGCTTTTAAAATTAGTGTTTCGGCACACCTCTGGTAAACTCCACAAACCGTTAGCTGCTTCAGAATGTCCATAAACAGGCGAAAACTCTAAATTCCCTATAAGCTCATGCCAATCAGTCCCAGAAGACCATTTTGTATTATTCCACCAGTCCCCGTTCCAAAAAGTTTTTATTCGATCAGCAAATCCCAAATCAATTTGTACTGGGCGTTCTTGACAATTCCATTGTTGGTTATTCCAATAATTAAAAAACGGATCGTCTATAGCTATTGGATTTATTTGAAAACATTCTGAGACGATACATTCTTCTTCCTCCTCATCTTCAAAATGAAGCAAAGTTTCAAGTGGATGAGAAGAGGATTGAGGTTGTTCTTCATTTTTATCAATTTGATTTTCTTC